AAGAGGGCGCCACCAAATTTTGAGGACACTCTTTTAATTGGCTCAAAGAGAGAAGTGGCCCATCTTGTCTTGTACTATCTTTGATTGAAGTCTCTCCTTTCACAATCTGATTTCACAGAGACAGAAGAATCATGTCTGGCAGAGAAGGTAAATAGATTTTCAGTCTTTAGATTCACCATGTCTAGTTTTAGATCTACTGTACAAATAAACTAGTCTAGATCTAGAATCTAGCTTTGATATTAGAATAGGGTGGCGTCTTTAGTATAAAGTAAAGTTTCCTTTTGTCGTCAATCAGCCAGTCACCATGCCATAGCCATAGTCCTCCACTGTTTGTATTGTCATAACAAACGAGGATTGGGAGGGCTTCTGGCGCCAAGATTAAGAAAGTATGTTTATGATTTGTTTAAATGCCTCAGGAAACATTGGTTTAGAGTCAAGTCTGTGTACTGTTAACAACCAGAGCACAACTTAATCTGGCCCCCCAGGAAATCGAAAAATTGAGTTCCACAATAAACCAAACCCGCAATTTTTTGCAATTTTCACAATTTCCTGCAATTTTACACTAAAATACATCAACGCTTTAATTTTAACAGAATTTTAAATACGAAATTGTACGAGTACATTGCTGATAGGCCTACGTAAATCATGGTTTCGGCCCAGCTCAAGCCTACTGACAGTCACTGAGCGTACTCTAACTAAAACTAAAAGATTATCGGAAATTCAGGCCGGAATGCATCAAACTGAGACAAAGGCTAGGCCTGGATCTAAGCCTAATGTGTATAAATGTGCATGTGTGATAAGAAAGTAGGTGTAGTGTGTGCGTGTGTGAGGTGTACGTGAGTGTGTGCGCGCGCATGAATATTGATGGTACATGATGTATGTGTCTACATACTCGGTAAGGGCACCTAGTCTCAGTATCTACGTACACGGTAACCGGAATGTAAATAAATCAATATCTGTCCTGTGCTGTCACTTGTTGAAAAAGAAAGAAAGTCATACATGTACACGCATCTTGTCGGGCTCGCCTTTGTGACCGGTCTGTGAACCTGTGCTTTCGCAACACATTGTGAGTACCGGTTGAGGTCACCAAAGTTCATTCAAAGTCTGTGCACTGCCAAGTATAGAGCTCCAGAATGGGGGAATTATTGATTAAAAAAAAAATATATACAGTCTGGGGAGGGCTGTGGTTGAAGGCAACACCGGATGACAAAAACTGAACTTGGAATTCTGAACTGCCCGGTTACCGTGTGTACGTGACACTGAGACTACATACGTGCCCGGTTGCCGGTTACCGTGTACGTAGACACTGAGGCTAAGTGCCCGGTTACCGTGTACGTAGACAAGGGAGTGAGTGCTATAGACATGATCTAGATCTACATTATTACTGCTATTGTTTATAAATGGGAGAAAAAAAAGTTTGCTGTATTTTACGATTTGACTCTAGTGTTAAAACAATACCATGCCGGTTTTAAAACAGAAAATATCTGAAATAGATCTAAATACAGATATTACCGGTGTATCAAAGGTTTCAAGAGAAAAATAGAACAGGATCTGATTTGTTTGGAGTTTGGAGCATAAGATTATTTTGTATTTAGACGTTTTGAAAATCTCTCATCAGTTTTTTTGTTTTTTATAGACTAAACCTCATGCCTTCTAGATCTAGATCTTTGCATGAACCAAGTACCCAGTATGTACTAAATTTGGTCAAATTTTATGCCTTCATTTAAAAGATAATATGAAACGGAGGGTTTCATTTTTTTGTGTCACGCGTTATCGTATTATATTGGGTCGATAACTATTGTTAACGTACTCGTGTGTGTTACTAGTAAAAATGTTGTTAATAATTTGATGAATTTGTATTGTGGGTCATGATTTTTTAAAAGGCTGTGCTGCTTTTATGACCGGTACTCAAATTGTCATGTTTTTTAAACTAAAAATGTTAAGCTCATATTAATGCGCCTGGGATGGGAGGTTGCAATTTTTAGTAGGCAGTTTACCGTGCAATTTTTTGCAATTTTTCTATTTCAAAATTGCAATTTTCTGCGGGGCCAGTAGACTAGACTGATATAAGGGTGATCTTGTAGTTCTGTTCGTTAAAGTCCACGATCCATTTGTTTAAATCCAGAAGTCTTGATGACCAAATACTATTTGAAATAGGCTACACAAAGAGCAGGGATGCAACCTAACTGCAAAACATCAAATTAAGATAAAATTAAAATTCAGGGGGGCCCCCTGAACCCCCCCACCTCCAATTTTTATTAGGTCAGGGGGGCAAGACCCCCCTACTCTTGACTTTAACGAACGAAACTACAAAATCGCCTGATATAGATCTAGTCTAGATTCAAACATTCTAGAAATTTAAAATATAAATCTAGTTTTTCCGTGTTGGGGGAAGTCGATAAATTTTTACTTTCACTCCCGCGTACAAATGCACTGCTTCGGGTGTCAAACTGCAGTACTGTTTGCTGCAGATCACACCTAAAGCCACTATAATATAACGAAGAGACTATTTCTCCCAACGTTCGGGAAAATAAAGTTGAACTCTATTTCTCCGAATGGTTTCCGATCTCGAGATATTTGGTTATTTGTGAGATTTAGGCGTCATCCTTTCATTCTGCCCTTGTGCGAGGACTGGGAAGAAGCATTTTTTGCACCGAATTCAATTTCAAGAGCTGGAGATTTTTAAATGTCTGAATGTTCAGATACTTCATTTGTGGTTGGGGCAACGTTCCCGATGCTTCATTTGAAAATACCTCCAAAAGGTACTGCGAGAAAACAAGACTGCTCGACCTTGGCAGTAACTATTTTGCATTTAGTCACCCAGCAAAAACTAAAATCCTTCATGTAAAATGAAAAAAAAAAAATCCCCCCAGCCCCCTCCCCCCCGTTCACACCTTACACACACACACCGACGCGCACACACACATGCACACGCACACACACACACACACACACATGGGCCACTCCATTCGCTTATTATCAACAAATCTTGAGAACTGAAACCGTTCGGAGAAATAGAGTTCAAGTTTATTTTTCCGAACGTTCGGAGAAATAGAGCCAGCCATAATATAAGGCTGTACTGTAGTTATTCGCACTGGGTGTGTGAATACTATAACCTATGGGATTGTTTTTGCAAAGGGTGTGTGAATACTATGAAATTTTATTCGCACAGGGTGTGTGAATACTGTATGAATACTATGAAATGTTATTCGCACAGGGTGTGTGAATACTATGAAATTATATTCGCATAGGGTGTGTGAATTAAGTTAATACTACAAAATATTATTATTGGCACGCAGGGCGTTTCAAAAGAAGGATGGAAATTAATTGGGCCTAGGGCCTAGCATTTACTCGTTTTTTCCCCTCATCTCGTAGGGACAAAGATCATGTATAACAAGATAGTTCACTCCTCTCTTTGAGCCAATTTAAAAAAATTTAAAATTTGGTTGTGCCCTCTTCGAAAAAGTGCGGACTGCGAATAGAGTTGTAAACCCTACTTGTGTGAAAAACAATAAAAGTGAAATTAACAGACTACTTATCCTCTACTCTTCTTCTGGAGAAATGAAAATACCCACAAATATCATGTACACCACCATAGCTAAAGCATAACCTCGGATAGATCGAATCCATTTGGTCTGGCCTCGGTAGTTCGAGGGATATCTTACAAAGATAAAGAAAAAAAACAGTGGATCGCAGGCACAGTTTTAACGGAGGCGTGATTTTGAGTCTTCTGTGTTCGACCTATCCGTGTTATACTGTATTTTATTTACTGACTGATTTTCAAAACGTAAAAGGCATTTTGTGTTATAAGTTAATAGTACCTACCGTTATTTATCATAATTTATGTTTAAAAATGCAATGGTATTGTTTTTACCAGATTAAAAATGTTGAGGTGGTTGCAGTTTATTTGGGGGGGGGGGTTGTTATTCTGGGTGCTGGCCTCCCTGATTTCTTGTAATCTTGAAAATAGTCCCGTTTGGTCACTTGCTGTTCGACTGACTTATCGATCAAAATCTTTCCCACCGCAAAATTCTCTAATCTACACGACACTACAATAGACACTTAGATCTATCATCCCGGACACTGAACTGACACCCCAGGAAATTGGACTGTCTGTGGCAATATTATGATTTGTATTAAATCTCTTGCATTTCTCTTCGTTTATTCTTCGTAGTTCTGTTATCTTGAAAACGAAATTGCTTTGAAAATCTTAACAAAATCTTGGAGGAAACCAGGAAAAAAACGGGAAATTTTTTTCTAGTTGATTCTGATGGATGGGAACCCTGGTTTTAGGTTTTAGAGATCATATTCGAATTTCGAACCTCCAGTAGGCCACAGAGGGGCAGACACCGCTACAGTGTCTCAAAATTCGCTCACAGAAGTGGTTGCTGAAACGCCGCGATGGTTCCGCAATGGTTTCCACGGCGGTATTCTGTCTCATGAGAACAGCTCGTGAGCAAACAGAAAGCAGGGGTTTCCAAACACAGCTGACTGACTTTTTCCGTCGCCGTACACCGCTCCATGTGATTCGACCTTTAGATTGTGTTGACTGTGACTCTACCACGTTTACTTTTTGGCACAATAACTTAATATAAGGATCAGAAGTAGTTAAGCTGCAACCACCATTAATATTAATAGTAATAGTAATAGTAATATAATGCTGTTTTCCAGCAGTCTAGGTTGCAAAATGAAAACTTGCAGTTGGTTTGCCTGCAGATTCTTTAGTCCTGTTGTTTGGCTGGGATTTTTGTCCTAACTTGTCAATTCCTAAAATAAACCTGTTTTGGTTTATTTGTGCTTTGCATGTTTTGGGATTGTTGCTGACAACCCCTGAAAAAAATTGAATTAAAAAAAAAGAAGTTTTAAATTTGATTTGTCTGAAGCAGAAAGCACTAATTTATGTACCAAATCCACAGAAAACACGAAGAAAATTGACAGAAAACTCATGCAAGTGGTTTGTTGATTTTATGCTTCTTTTGGGTAGACAGAAATGATGTCCATGTGAGCTCATAGGAAAAACCACAACTACTATTACAGGTTTTATTTTTTTGATCATTTACTTGACCACCCCCATGGTGATCTAGTTATCTGGGTTTCTTTCACTTTGAAATAAGTTTGATGTTTCAGGAGTTTGCTAATAGTAATTTGACTATTCTCGACATGTTTCACATTTTGAATAACGCATATTTTTTTCACAGGTGGCAAGAAGAAGCCTCTGAAGGCCCCCAAAAAGAAGCAAGATGAAGAAGATGAAGTAAGTGGAGGGTTTTTTTTTTCACTGCCAGGGGTCTTGTTTAATATTGTTGTTGCCCTTGAACTTTAAAATACATCACCATTTCTTCAATTTCAATGGACCAGACCCGTACAGTTTACGTCACTATGTTAGTTGCAGCTATCAAACTTTAACATCCACTTCGCACTGAGCCGTTGTAGTTGCCCAGTGCCACTTTACCCAGAGATAGAAATTAGACTGAGACAAGCATTAGTTTGACAAGTTGTTATAAAATTCGTGCCCTTTTGTGTTTTAGGTGTGAGCTTAGGCTAATGAGAATCTTTTTAAAAAATGGTCAGTGTTTGAAACCTTGGTACAATTAGCTACGGTGGGTGCGTGTCGTGGTGTGTTGGGATACACTATCAGTTTTCAGGTTCAAAGGCTCGTGATGTATTCTGTAGTTCCAAAGGATTGCTTTATGTTATGCCCTACACTGCAACGCAACTTGTTGCTCACATTGCTATAATGGAGTACTCACATTCAACAAAATTGAAGGTCGGGCCCGACAACTTAGTTAAATCCGAGTTTCACTGTGACTATCCTTTTTATGAGTGCCTTCTAGATCGATGTCTGAACTCTTTCACATCCAGGTCGTTTCGACAAGTGTCTGAAACAGATGAAAGACTTGCTTTTGAACTGAAAATTCTTTTGGTTTGTCACTAGACATTGCAAAACCTGGTCAGAAAGACCAGTTGGTTGAAAAAGGAATTTACACTTTACAGCTCAATGAAATATAGTCAGAAAAGAGTTCGAGCTGGCTGTGGATGAGACGAAACGACAGCTGGGCCAAATAGAACAGACAGCAGACAGGAAACTATGGTAGATTTTTGTATAGCTTCGCATTTGCTATTTTCCGCTGGAGGCGCCGTGGCACTGTTCGAAAACGCACGAACTGAAGACCCGGAAATACCCCAAATCCTTGAAGGTTCGTCTCCCGATCAGCGCGAAGAAAACAGAAAACAAACAGAAACAGCAGGAGAGCACTCAGGAGCCATGACCTGAGTGTGGCCAGGCCCCTTAGAGTGTCAGGAAATTAGGACTGAAACACTTGCTTGAGGGGGGGTTTCTTCCTCTGAAGATCTCCTGCTGTCCGCTAGCCCCATGAGTTTTCTCCCACTAGTTTCTTCATGATTCTGTCTTTCTTGCTTTATCCAAACCATAAATGCCTCTTTGTGTTGATATGCTTCTTTCAATCAAACAAAGCAGTCAAGGCCTAAAAATAATTCACCAGCATCTGTGGTGTGGCGGAAGTGAGTTCCGTTATGGTGTTGGAAGAATTTTTGTCGAGTGTCTCTTGTCTTTCTACTGGGATGTTGTATCCGTCTCAGCTCGGGTTGGCCCTGTCAGGCAAGATTGAGGCACCTCACACCCAAAATGATTAAGTGTCAATGGGGGCTTGAAACATGTACAATTTTTTACGAAATAAAAATAATTCCACTTCCCTGATAAAGTCGAGGGCACACAGAGTGAAAAATGTACCTACGGAACACATTTGAAGTCCCGAATTTTATTCTTATATATGTATTCTTTGTATTCACAACACAAACATAAAGAAACTGATTTGTACATATCGTCGTGAAAAAGAATTAATGTCATGGAGGGCAAATTTTGTTTACCAAAGTAGACACCATGAGAGAGAGAGAGAACGAGCACAGCATGAGTGTGAGTGAAGGTCAAAGACCTTTCTTGCTTGAAATCATGTATTATGTATCCGATATTGTTGCCCTAAGATTAGATGCTACACAACTGTTTGCCGGTGTTGTGCAAAGTTAGATCAAGATGAAGTTGTAGTTTATAGTGGGCCACGCAGAGCACAAGATGCCGAAAGACCTTTATGTTGTTAGAGGCAAAACTACTGATCCTTGCAAATGTGAATTTAGAAAATTAATGCAACCTGAAATTTGTATACAAAGCGAAATTCGTACTTAACGAAGAGATTTCTGCATTCTGCCAGTTTCGCTATGTTCGTGCTAGACAAGACAGTATGCATTTTGCAAACTTGGAGAGGATTATATTTATATAAAGTGTTTATTGTATAAGGCCCTTAAACTTAATATTGAAGAATTTGTAAGGGCTCGGTCAGCTAGCATACTGCGATGTGAGAAGGTCACTTTTTGCGCCAGCTCTACTGGTGTGGTGTGTAAAGGAGTTAAGCACCTGATTTAACTGGTTTCCATTTCAATGCTGAATGTCTCTAAGGGATTTTAGGTGTAGATTAGAATGAAAAGGTATGCTGAAGGAGTTGTTTTGTGACATCGTGTAAAAATATTCCATGAGAAAGGGTACAAAAAGATACACTATTATTACTTAACATTGACGTTCATACAATTTTCTGTGTGTTTGGGATTTTTTCTACCTTAACTTAAAAGTTGAGAAACGCTTTTTTTTCCAGTCTGATGTTGCCTTCAAGCAAAAGCAAAGGGAAGAGCAGAGAGCTATGAAGGAGGCAGCTGCCAAGGCAGCAGGCAAAGGACCTATGAGTAAGTGCTTGTCCTAGTGTTTTGAACAGCTGGTATATGAGTTTGTCCCTTTTAACCTCTTTGTTGCCTATTGACGCACCTGGAACACCACGTCTCGAAAATGCGAAATTTTTAGCTTTGTGCCGTACCATGGAAGTTGGAAAAACTGGCTGTGCCTGATGGGCGGGCTCCAAACAAGCAGTCAGTGGTGTGGTGTTGTGATTCATGATTGGCCAGTCCAGTGGTAAGTGAGGTGGGGCAGGCGGCAGAGAGAGATGGTGCGGAGAGACGCGTTATATGGGCCACTTTAAAAGTGATGTTCCATAGCTTCGCCTAGGAACTATTTTATCCAAAGTGCCTCTTTACTTAAGTACACTTTGGACAAAATAGTTCTGAGGCGACGATAGACCTAGCCCTAGGCATAGGCTAGGCCTTTTGAGAAACTTGTTGGTGATCAAGCGAAACAGAATGGGAGAGCCCATGTGTGCCAACAATGAAGGCCGGAGCGAGTGAGTGGGAAGGGAGTGGCATGCGCACACGAGCGGTTGTGAAGCAGAACGCATTGGATTTCCTGATAGCGATAGGCCAGCCTAGTCTAGATTATCTATGCCTATCATGCCTGTCACTTCTCCGATGGGTGGAACGAATGTTTGACGTGCGTAAGGAGACGCGGGAACGCACCACAGGGTGTGGTGGGGCGATGGACAACACAGAGGGCGAGTTAGCCTTGAGAACTTTCTTTCTGATCGCCAACGCCGAGCTGTCAACTTCCCTATTGCTAGAGAAAGAAGCCTGATTCAATTTTTGATTAAGTAAGACCTGGAGGTCATGTTGAACAAAGCCGTCATCAGAGGAGATAACAAACAGAAATTAAGAGAACACCAAACTCATAGATTAGGCCTACTTTATTATTTCCTTTGAATTTATTACTGGATCCCTTACAACGAGAATCCTGCTATAACGGACATTTCGTACCGGTCCCCTCCCTCTCGTTATAACAGGATTCCACTGTATTCAAGTATTCATTTCCATTTTCGAAGGCTATGGTAGAAGACACTGAAGAGTGCTTCATGTGCTCTCAGAACTGGTCCTCTTGTCTCAGATTGAGTCATTTTTTAAACTGGTTCTATTATGAAGGTGAAGATTTCTATTGTAGAGTGCAATTATATTATGGACAAAGGCTTCCTTTACCTTTTTCACCTTTCTCTCTACATGTAAGATATGACATTAACACTGCACATTACGTATAGGCTTGGTGCTTATGTTTATCGATGATGTTTTAAGTTAAAACTTGTAGTTTTGTTTCAAATGAGACCATGCATTTGTCCTTCTAAATAAGTAAGCGTTTAAAAACTGTATTGGGTACAAACATTGTTTTTTTTTGGTGTATTTTTAGTAATGTTCTGTATTCCTTTGTTTTTCATTCACAGCGTCTGGTGGCATTAAAAAGTCTGGCAAGAAATGACCCAGGTTCTTCACGATCCTTTATCATCATCGTTCATCGTCTGCATGCTGTCACTTCATCTCTCACATAGTCTCTCAGTTTGAGCATTTATTCTTGTACATGTAATGTGTTGTACAATATTCAGAATCAGCATGTCATCAAATTTTTCCTTTGTTGGTTTTGAAAAGAATAAAGACTGATGCCTCTGCCTGCATATTTTTTTTTGTTACTTGATGTCAATATTTTTTTACCTATGGGTCTTTGAGTTTGAGTGCTCTATCACTACACTAGGTGTTTTTTTCTGTCTCACTCTGATTCTGATACTTGTGAGTAGTCATGCTTTTTGCCAGAAGTAAGGATACCTAACTTCATGTGTAAGCATTTAAAAAAGGAACTTTAGGATTTAAGAAAAAGTTGTTTGAAGGGGATGGCCAACCTTTTGAAGGTACTACTTGTCTTCCGTTACACTTTTTTCTCACTCTCATTTCTTTCTGTTCGAAACACAGACCTGAAAATACCTTGGCGTGTGTGTGGGGGATGGACAAAAAGTGATGAACCAAAAAATGTAATTTTGTGACATACTACAACTTGTAGGCCTACTTGTGCTACATGTGGGCTTCGGTCTCTCCGAGTCTGAGCTTGTTCTGTTATAAATTTGTTATAATATTAGTCATGGATTTCACAGTGATGGATGCATTTAGAACCGACTGCAAATTTAAAGATAAAGTCAAGGAAACCTCATGCCAAAATGATGGTTTTTGAACAGTGCGTCCTACTTGCACTTAGTGTGTTTAGGCTGAGGCTTGTTACTGAAAGTGAAAGTACGGGTTCTTCTCTTTGATTGATAAAATTGTAGGCCTACCTGGATGCCTTGGATATATCACCTTTTGGTTGAGATATATTCTATAATAACGATTACTGGAGTTCCAAGGTCCTTTATCAGGATTGCACCCATTCGTCAATCATTTATACCTGCTGTTTATCAAGTTCTTTGGGTATTTATCACAGTTGCTTTACTGAAAGTTGTTGAGAAAATTGGATGGACTTTCAATAACTCAGACAACCAATTAAAAAAAAAAAGTGTTAACAATAAACACGGCTAGGAAATCTATTCTTGGCTGTCGGTAGAACAAGTACAGTGGGTGTTGCATTCAACGAGGTCAGATTCAACGAGAAGTCGGCTCCAACGAGGCAATCCTCAATCCCCGGTTCTTTCCTCTATATCTCTTTGTAAATGTACGTCAGCTCTAACGAGGTTACAAACACCAAAATCGCTTTCAATGAGGTTGCGATAACCGAATAGAAGCAATAAGCAGCCCGAAAGGCGAAGAATTTTTCTCCTTTCTCTCCATCTCACGCGAAGCACAAGGCTCATCCACGATTCCTTACACATTGTATTGCTAGATCTAGTGTGCATTCTAATAATAATATGGGCCCCAAAGCCAAGAGGATGGGCGAAGGTTAGCCTTCGGTAGGGATGGGAGGGGGTGGGTCGGAACGCGATGCGGGCTGTGTGAAACTGGATGAACTCTGGATTGGATGGGTAGGTCTAGATCGAGACCCTCATTTTGTTCAATTTTCTTTTCTTACCCCGATCAGGAAATCCAAGCTCCCGCCTTTACTTTATGTAAATCTAGGCCTAGATGTGAGAGGGTATGTTTCCACACGAAAAGTGTTCTGGAAAAAAATATTTTAAAATGCAGAAACGACGGTCAGAACACAGCTCAAACACACACACACTGATGCTGTTTGAGATTTTCGTCATCAGGGGGAACAACTGTTTTAATTTCTGGTATTGGTACATCGTGTAATATAATATAGTAATTGTCTCCTTTCTTTTCTTTAGCCTTAATCACGTTCAACGAGAGGTCGGATCCAACGAGGACAACAAGCCTGTCCCGGCAACCTCGTTGAATGCGACACCCACTGTACAAGTACAACTTAGTACAAGTAGCCGACAACTACAAAGAAATAATATATGATTTAAGGGAGTGCTTATTTAGGCCACATATGGCCTAAATAAGGTAAGGGAGGGGGGTTTAGCTTATTTAGGCCACAGTGGACTGTGGCCTAAATAAGGTAAGGGAGGGGGGTTTAGCTTATTCAGGCCACAGTGGACTGTGGCCTAAATAAGGTAAGGGAGGGGGGGTTTAGCTTATATAGGCCACACATGCTCAAACTACCCTTTTCAGGCAACTGAGTTCATTCCACTTTCATAATGGTGCACCTTTCTCATTTAGTACGGTTTTGTCTCAGTGTACAACTTATAAATCATAACCATAATGAATATTGTAAAGAACAAAGCACAATACGCAAAATTTTGCTCAATCCCAATGGTTTGAATGAGGGCCAGATTTTTCCTTCATGGAGGGGCAAAAGCTAGGCTACCATTTTGGCACACTTTGGTCAAGTGAAAAGGTCAAATCCTCCGAATGGACTTCCGGGTTAAATTTGGGGTATAAAAAGTGTGTACACTACGTGGCTGAGTCAAAGTTACACTATCTTTGTCTGAGTGACACTCTCTCTTACTGTCTCGTAGTAGTACATGTAGGCTAGTAGGCCTAGTAGTAGTAGTAGCAAAGATCGTGTAGAGAATATTTGGTAGTAGATTCTATCTATAGGCAGTTTAGTGAATGTGCTCGCAGCAGGGCGAATCGGCCTCGATAAGCCCCGTAGACTTTTGTGATCGGCCACGAAGCCTCGTGTTTTGATGGGTCTAGATCTAGATCTAAACAACTCAGTGTTAATCACACTGCCACATCCGACAGGCCTAGATCTACATCTTTTTAAAAGGAAAACAAAGATCATCAAAATGGTTGAATTCGCCTGAAAATCGATTCGGTAGAACTAGAACTATTAAAATTTGCTTCTGAAAACAAGGCAATTTTTATACGAAGGCCATTTTTATAACTCGGTGAAATAAAAACTACTGGCTGTGTACTGTGTTATGCTGTATAAAAATAAATTATGAAACTTCAGGACGCATTATTATTTTCCAGCATCTTTTGACGCCTGAGCTGTAGAGGTTGAAGTTTTCACAACACTAATAGATCTAGTAATAGGCCAGGTAATAGGGCTTTCCGTAAAAAATGCATAGATCTACAAAAGCCGAACCACCGAATCGACCGAGCACCTCGCTCTCCCCTGCACACTGTGATAACGTGTTGCTTCGGTATCGCATTATTCAACTATTAATACGTGCGGCTATGGCAATTGGGATGTACTGACTGACAAAAAATTCAGTTTTGTTTTTATTTTACCATATATTTGACTTAAATAGTGCAGGCGATAGCAAGATCTAGATTCCCTGTCTAGAATCAGTAGTAGCAGGCCTATGCTAGAAGTAGCCAGAGAGCCTACAACTGCTAGATCTAGATCTAACTTATTATTGCTATGCCTTTGGGCTTTGGAATTGAAATAAAACGAATTGCACAGTTCTAGTTACTTTTAGATTCAGCAAGTAACTGTATTTCCAGAGTTAATAATAACAAATCTCAGCATAACAATCACTTTTACTTTTATTAGAATAATTAGATCCAACTTTTTTTCTAAAATCTGTTTTGCGCAAACTTAAGATTTTCTCTACTTGTAGAGCAGAGAATTTACATTGTAAGCCTCTGCTCAGTCTTTTAGTATACATATAATAAAATACACACACACACACATATATATATATATATATATATATATATATATATATATATAGAGAGAGAGAGAGAGAGAGAGAGAGAGAGAGAGAGAGAGATCTATATCATCATTTTATGTTGTTTTCGGGATATTTTTAAAACTCTTTTTTTTCAACATGTCATAAAATCAAATTGTGCCATTTTCTTTGAAAAGAATAGCATTAGCAGTGGACTTTTTAGAAAGCGAATCTCTGATTCAATATTTAAAAAAAAATATGCTAATCAATGAAAATTGCAAATTGATAATAGTTTAGTCCTGAAGAGGATAGGTGGACTCCGGGGTCTGCAAAGCGAAATACTAGGTTTTAGGATGTAAACCCCGGAGTCACCGTAGTGAAATAAGGTTTGGTTTAAGTAAGGATTGGTGGACCCCGGGGTCAACGTAGTGATAAATAAGCAGGTTTAAGGTGGACCCCGGGGTCTACCTAGCGAAATACTAGGTTTTAGGACAGGTGGACCCCGGGGTCACCGTAGTGAAATAAGTATGTTTCTTTAAAGATTGGTGGACCCCGGGGTCAGCGTAGTGAAATAAGTAGGGTTAATTTTAAAAGGATTGGTGGACCCCGGAGTCACCATAGCCGTAGAGGAATAAGGTTTAATTAAGGATTGGTGGACCCCCGGGACACCTAGATTAAACCTACTTATTTTACTACGGTGACCCCGCAGGTTCCACCTATTCTAAAAACCTAACTAGCATTTCGTTAGGTAGACCCTGGGGTCCACCTTAAACCTACCTATTTCACTACGTTGACTCCAGGGTCCACCAATCCTTAAAATTAAACCTAGATCTACATGTGCTTATTTCACTACATTGACCCCAGGGTCCACCAATCCTTAATTAAACCTAGATCTACTGATTTCACTACATTGACCCCGGGGTCCACCAATCCTTAATTAAACCTATATCTACTTATAATTTCACTACATTGACCACGGGCTCCGCCAGTCCTACTATAAAATAAACTGAGATCTACTTATTTCACTATGTTGACCCCGGGGTCCACCGATCCTTAGTTAAACCTAGATCTACTACTTATTTCACTACGCTCACTCCGGGGTTCACATCCTAAAACCTAACATTTTGTTAGGTAGATCCCGGGGTCCACCTATCCTTTTGGCTAGATAGACCCCGTAGTCCGCCTATCCACTTTCTTGATAATAACTGAAAACAATACATGCCAGTTGTCATGAATAGTGAAGAAAAATGATGGAAAAAAAAGACAATGAGGTAGACTATAATTTATCCAAAAGGTTGCAAGTGCAAGTGAAGATCATAAAATAATTTTGTTATCTTCAGGTCATCTTTCCCGGTTTATAAAAAAAATTCAGTGGGCCTACTACTAGATCTGTGTCTCTGAAGAACATTTTGCTTGCCTTTATTAGCTTTTTTCATGTACATGAAAGCATAGAATATATAGTTTCACACAAATATAATATGCACAATACTTTGAAAAAGAAAGATATGGTCATTGTTTTTTTACGGAATCCGTTTTACGTTGAGAAAAGCGCTAAAAACAAGTTTTAAAATTTTAAGAATGCCCATAATATTAGTATTAGGAATCCGAAATTACTACCTAGTTGGCTTACTCTTTAATAACGATGAGCAGTTAAGAAAAAAAAAGACAATGATATAGGATTTGTCTAAATATGACCATTAGCAATAAAGATTCTACCCATTTTGTCCAATTATCCTGCACTGTTCCTCAATAAGCACAAAAGGAATATTTCTGTGACTTTGTATAAAGGTGTGGCCTAAATAAGGTAAGGGAGGGGGGTTTAGCTTATTTAGGCCACAGGCGTGGCCTAAATAAGGTAAGGGAGGGGGGTTTAGCTTATTTAGGCCACCTGTGGCCTAAATAAGGTAAAGGAGGGGGGTTTAGCTTATTTAGGCCATATGTGGCCTAAATAAGGTCACCCATGATTTAACTAACTGGCTAGACGCTTTCAAAGTGCAAAGATGGCTCAGTTCTTCTCATGCTGGGTTACTTATTGTGTGGATGACCCTGGTTGAAATCCCCAATTGAGAATTCTAGTTTTATCTAGTACTTTGCGAAGGCCACTTAAACTGGACACAGTCAATCCAAAAACAGCTTCCGACCGAAAGAAAATACATGTAATATCCCTGATTTATTTTTCTTTCTATTTGAGCAACCTCTTTAAAGTGAACATCCTGCTAAGTTGAAGAAAATTCGGCTGTTCCTCAGATTTGGATAATTAAGCAGACTCCACTGTGTGGGGAATTTTCTGAGGCTCTCCACCCACTTGGCTGTTTTACCGGAGGTGAAACCGGAATGTTAACCCTATCCCTACCTTGTGGTTTTCTATTGTGTATCCATACGATGTGGGGAACTCTGTGCCATCACTTCCAAAGAGGAAATTTACTCGTTAATCCGATCCGTACGCATTGCATAGCAGTCTGAGTTGGTGGTTGGCGGGTGCTCTGATGTGGTTTGCTCCTTCTTTCCTATCGAACATCTATCAACCTTATCTCCCCTTCTTTTTTAAAATGTTTGTTACTCTCTTGTAACACCTCTAATCCTTTGACTACAGTTATGTTTAGTGGGGCCCCGCTTATCCTTTTATAATAACATAGTTTTGGCCACAGCAGGCTTAGATATAACTTGGAATACAAAGTAAATCCCAGTCGTACTTGCATTTTAAAAATGCATCTCGTTCAGATGGTAATGTGGCGTCGGTGGCCTAGTGGTTAGGCTCTTAGACTCGCAACTGTAGTAGTAAGGCCATGGGTTTGAATCCCGTCAGGGATCTGACTCTGACATTGTGTCCTTGGGAAAGGCACTTTACACAACTTTTCCTCACTTTACCCAGGTTTGTTGTTATTGTTAGTGTTTATTGAGCGTTTTATCAGCTGCTTGCACTGTATGCTTCCCGGGAAGCTGAGAATGTTTCTGAGTGTTCTATGGTCTGCTGGGGGAATAACAGTGTAAACCGCATTGATCTTGCTGTAGAGCAGGATTCCGTGCTGTGTTAATGCTTTTAATTATTAATCAGACAGATCTGCTCCCCTATGTCAGCGACATTGGTCCAACCATCGATAAAATCCAAAGACAAATGGATAAGAAAGAAAAATAAAAGTAAATGAAGCAGCACTTTTGTCATGAGACATACCATTAGTCAAGGGAAGGGAGGAAGGCGGATAGCCGGAGGTACTTTGGTATGGACAAAATCCTAAACTAAGCAGACAAGAAGGCCGAAAAAAAAATTAGCTAATGAAGAAACAAATTGCTCCTCCTATGTTTTGTAATATCATGTCATATTATTACTATTAGTAGGCCTACTGTTTGTGCAGGGGGGGGGTGGAAGAGGAAGCTGGCTGGATGCACTTTGGTATTGGAACAAAATTTTCAGTCAGTGGCTTCCAGTGACCAGTATATATGTGTCCCTTTTCTCAGTCTGAGCTCTGCCGTGGGCGTTAGCTGATAAAACGTCTTTTTAAAAATTCAGTCACAGTAGTTTGAGATATATAAAGAGGTTCTTTGTCAACGTAACTACTTAATAAAAGCGTTCTTCCAAATTTTGAATTCTAATTTATTAAAAAACTAGTCACAGTTTCACTTTGATTTTTTCAAATAAATAGGGCAGCTGACTTTCGATTTAGCAAATGAAAAAAATTGGTGCCAGAAATGAAAAAAAGGCGTTTTGTCAGCTTACGGCAGGGCAGTGGTAACTATCAAAATGGAGTTGAACGCACAAACAAAATGCTTGGAAAACAGTTGTATTAGAGACCAAACAACACATTGACATAGGCTTAGCTTAATTTTGAGAACAAACAAGTCAGCAAAAAGACGAAGTACTATTGCTACATACATCGTCATCATGTACATGAAGGAACCCATTCACATTTTACTTACACATTTCTCATTTCTTAATGTTATTTGCTTCATAGATGAAATACAGTTGAGTTCAGTAAGGCCTATAACTATAAGCAGAGGCACGCTGGCAAAAGACATGGTCTAATATATATATGAATAATTTTTGTTCTTGTTATTTAACCAGCTGAGCAAGTCCAAATAGTTCTGCAACATAATTTTATATATATACAAGTACACTTAAATAATTATTACTCTCAGCAATGTTCCAGCAAAAATTTAAGTAGTCCTGTTCACAAAATTAAAGTTAGACTTATTATGTTTTAGTTCACATATTTGAAACAAATCAGCAGTGTAAGTGTAAGAATTGGTTTTACACCAGTGAAAGACAGCAATGCAATATTGTCATCTTTACATCTATATATATATATAGACATGATGAGAAGAAATGTTTTCCAAACATTACTTTCTTCTATGATTTTGTTTATCACACGTCGTTAATTCTGAACAATTCTGTAACTTTTATGACATTGCAAAAGAATATCAAGTCAATACTTTTATACAATCAAAGAAACAATCAAAGTACAGTAGTAACACGAGAACAGAAAGTATAGCTTCAGTCCTTAGCCCTTCCATCTTCCTCGTCTGTAATTCCTGCGGCCCCTGGAAACAGAGAAAAAAAAACCACTCCATGAACAGATAAGTAGGCTACTACGATTAGAACATTTCATCACTTTTACAGTGAACACAATGAACCCAGTTTCAAAGGAAAGTCGGTGGGTTCAACGAAAGGAGTCACCATTTTTTTCCTAATCCTATTCATTAAAATCAACAAAATAACTTTGATTCAACGAACACATAAATAAATGAGTGAACTCCAATTAAATGAAGTTGCTTGCAAGGCAAACAGTCCCCCGCTGATGTGGCTTTGCTCATAACGAAAGGAATCACCATTTTTTTCCTATTTATTAAAATCAACAAAATAACTTTGATTCAACGAACACATAAATGAGTGAACTCCAATTAAACGAAGTTGCTTGCAAGGCAAACAGTCCCCCGCTGATGTGGCTTTGCTCATTTTTCTTGTGACGAGGTTTATCTCTACTCTATTCCAAGAGACCATCGATCACACCATCATGACACGTTTAGCCTAGCCTGTTGCGTACATTGCATGCGGCCAATCAGAAGCCTTCTTTCCCACCAACATATGCAGTATTGACATGTTCGTAAAACATGATGTGTCTTAGTTAGCGTGTGCCGGGGTCGGGAGAGGCCCTACGGGTGGCCAGCACATACACACATGTGACTGTTATTGACTTATTGCATGTCAAAAGTGTTCTGGGCGTGGAAGATCAGCAGAGATACATTATTATAATACATTATATATACGTCACAAATATGATATTCCCCAATTCCCCTCCTCTTCCCCCCAGCAACTGAACTATGGAAGGCTAGCTTAGACATACATCTAGATCAACACATGACTTGCGTACTGGTCTGTGGAAACAAATGTTGCTGTATGGTAGTAGGTCCTACATTGCAATGCAACTTGGTGCTCTCATTGCTATAACAAACACTCGGATTCAACAGAATTGAAGGTGAGACCTGATGACTTCGTTATATCTAAGTTTTACAGTATAGCATTGAATCATTTCTTTAGTGACAATGAAAAATATATTATTATATTTATGTATACTAATAATATCATTTGTAAATGTGATTGCCACAATGCCTTATGAAAACAGGACTGTTAGCTTTCAATTTCAACAATCTCTGTCCATTGTCCATATCTGTTGAGCATAATGAAAAGACACAAAAAGTAAACTCTGTGTAGATGATCCATAAAAAAATGTTTAAGCGAAAAAAAGCAATGGATCTTATTTTTTTTTCTCAAAGCAGGCACTAACCTTCAGGGAGAGCAGATCGTAATTTTCATTAAAATGCAATGTAGGCAAGTGTAAGACCTAATTGTATTAACAACGCTACATAATATACTATACACAGTGGTCTCTGCCCAAGAAAGTGGTTATCAGTAGACAAAAAAAAGCACATTTTTTTCTTGGACCAAGTTTATCGGCCTATCTCAATGGCATCACATAGCTCTTGCCGGTTAGCTTTCTGGGTACTGTAACCCCTAATTTATTCTTAGCTGAAATATAGGAACCCAACGATCTGAAGAGGGTCTCTGCTTTTGTAATATATAAGCTAAGGAAGATGCTTAGGTTACCTTTTCCTCAGCTTGAACAGAGTTTTTGAGGTAACCTTTATATCATCTTGAGAACTGGTGCCTTGGTTTTTTAAACCATCGAGAGGAACAGACATATATATGTACCAATGTACCTGAGCCAATAAAAAATTCTCTAAAATAGACTGATCAGCTGTGGTAGTTCTCAGGTTCATAGACTTAGCCATCAACTAGGCCACAGCCCCGAAACACAGATCTTCTCCTCACTGTGACACTGTTTCCGTCTGCAATAAAAATGAGCTTCCAAAACAGGGCTATAGCATTGCATTTTGACTTTTGTGTCTATCCATAGGCTGATGTGCTTGAAAGTGGGTAGTGCTGTGTGAAACAATAAATGAAGGGAGGGTGTGAGAACGTCTTGTTGTCTTCCAATCATACTGCTTTGTCCACTCCTTCCATCCTCTACAACAAACCTCCCACAGTATTTTACTGAACTTGGCAACATTACACTTAATACAGTAACAGTGTGCATGTCTCACACTTGAAGAGGGCCTCGTTGCTTTTGCGGTCATATCACTACTCTTTTAAGCAAGATGTTTCGTCTTTCAAACAGAGTTTTTTAGGGGACTTTCATTTTTAGAACATGTTTTTAAGCCAATAAATTATAGAAAAAAAATGATGTAACGCATTAAAAGGGACTCTTGTCTTCAGTGGTCCAGCTTTTTACGCAGTGTATTCTTAGACAGAGACCATTGTACAAAATATTCAAAGAACTCAGCCTGTGAGATTTGCAATAAATTGTCTTACGAGATAATTTCCACGTGGTCAATAGCCCACTGGTCAAATCCTTTTCCATCATGACTCGGCTGCCACCATCTGAACTGAATCCCCACATCTTTGGCTCCCTGGGGGACATCGTATGCTGCTCGCTTTGGCCGCAGGAAGTCAACTGGATCATGTTGTGCAATCACATGCCACTCTGAACCCTGCAGGATGTGAAAGTCGAATATTTTCATCATTTTTTACACTTGTGAGAAGTTTTGTTTTGTTTTAGTAGAGGTTTTACGGCACTTGCTACTGCATAAGGTCATATGAGCACCAAGGGGTGGATGTCAACAGAAAAGTCCTTACAGGGAATCAGGCTTACTCTGCTCACCTCTCTAGCTTAAACAGCACAAAGTTTGTTTCGGCTATCAAGGCACCCCGGAAATAGCGGGTCACAAGAGTATGACAAACAATCAAAAGAAGTAGAGGAAAATGACGATAGAAAGGATTAGGAAAGAAAAAGCAGCAGTTCCCTGTTGCAGTTCAGGCACAGTCATGAGCATGACATTGATGAATCAACCCATTTACAATTCTACTGTGCATAAGAACTCAAGATGTTAATGTTCCCACCCTTTGGTAATTTGGGAATGGCCTAAAGACACTTCACTCAGAAGCACCACCCTGGGGGGGGTCTGAGAAGTTTCATCACCACAATGCTTAGGAATGATAAGAAGAACATGACTTAAGAGGATATGGGAAAAGAAGATAAAGGTACCGGAAACAACTACGTCAGTGGGTGGGGCAGACAGACCGAAATGCAAACAAGAGAGTGATATCCTTCAGAATTCACAGATGATAGTAATTGTATTGTAAGTAGCAGTCATTGGGGGGTCACATGACATTAACCCTTTGAGCTCTAAATCTTGAAATTTTTCTCAAATCTCTATCCCTGGACATTTTTTGCAAATTTTTTCACACTGTTTAGGGGGCACATACACAAAAAGACAGAGGGGAAAAACTTGGAGAAATAAGCACATCTGTTCACCCCCTTGTTTACCTTATCCAAAGGTGGAAATATTGTAAGATGACAAACAAGAAATAAAGACAGCACTTTTGACGGACTACACAACTCATCATGCTCAGGGTAGTCCGTGTCCTGGTGAAACGGCCTTACGGTATACATCAAAATGTTGCCCTGGCTGGTTTGCCTGCCTAACGTGTTCAAAGGGTTAAATTTAAGCTCGCCCCAAAGAAATACAGTGAGTCCCGCTTAAACAGACTTCTACGAGATCTTCAGGGTTTCTTTCATTTAGTGAGGTTTCGGTTTAGAGAGGTTGCACAAATAGAAGAGAAAAAAAAATGGGGATTTCATTTCTTTTGGTTTACCATTGTTTTCGGATTTATCATGTTTGGTTTTACTTTTAGCAGACTCTACTGCAATAGCTTTAACAAAACAGTTGGCTGCGTTTCAATTCTATTTCCTTCGAATTCCTGTTGAAATATTCTTACATTAATAAACTCTTCCTAAGATTATAAACATGATAGAAGTCTGATGCTTGTAATTACATCACAAACAGAACTTGTTGAACGTCCTCATATTCCAGCACCTAAAGTTTGGATGGAGGTTTTCTACTATAAAAACCAAGAACACTTAATGTTGAGATACAAACAAGCAAAAATGATATAGCATTCAAACTGGAAATTAAAAATGAATTAAAAAAAAAAAAAGCAAGAGAAAAAAGGAGAAAATTCTCTAATACAATGCAATCATGCATTCTATAGAACAGAGAGAACGTCTACAATAGTATAAAAAACTGACACTGGAAAGAAATTATTTTCTTTTCATACCTTCAGGTTAATGAACAGACGGAGAAAGCTAACTACTCCTTTATACATGACCAAGTTGAAAACAAGTAGGGCCTACAGTGGAATCCTGTTATAACAAGAGGGACAGGACTGGTGCGAAATGTCCGTTATAGCAGGATTCTGGTTATAAGGGATCCAGTAATAAATTCAAGGGAAATAGTAAAGTAGGCCTAATCTATGAGTTTGGAGTTCTGTTTATTCCTTTTTGTATTTCCTCTGATGATCATTTTGTTCAAAATGATCTCTAGGTCTTACTTGATCAAAAATCGAATCAGGTTTCTTTCTCTAGCACTAGCAGTGTTGACAACTCGGTGTTGGCGATCAGAGAGAACGGGATCTGGCTCTAGGCTAACTCGCCCGTTGTGTTGTCCCCCACCCCACCACACCCTGTGGTACGTTGCGTCTGCTTGCGCACGTCACACATTCACTCCATCTATCACAGCATTGTGACCTCTCCATCCCGCACCAGAGAAGTGAGAGGCACGGTATGCCTAGATAATCTAGACTTGGCTGGCCTATCACGCCATGCGTTCTGCTTGTTTGCGCATGCCACACCCTCCCCACTCATTCGCTCCGGCCTTCATTGTTGGTTCGTGTGGGCTCTCCATTCTTTGTTTCGCTGGATCACCAACAACTTTCTCAACTGGCGAGGTTTTATATGTTTAATTGGTCTGTGCGCTGTGCACAGCAGCAGCAATATTCCGTTATAACCTTCTCGCGTGACTATCTGATTGCGCAAAAGCAGTACATTGTATTTTATTAACAAAGATAAAGAAGGGAAAAAAAGGGGTGTTGGAATAGGGTCTTTATAACAGACTTCTTGTTATTTCAGGACTCGTTTTAAGTGGACTCCACTGTATCATGAAGCAACATTTGGTTGGTAAGTTCTGTACTGTTATTAAAGCAAAAGTGCATGAATCAAGAATAACGTAACATCCTCTTCTTGAGACAGTATTTTTTCCCCTTAGATTTCCCATTCATAGTTTATCTCGAGTAAATAAAACAAAAAATCTCTAGAAACAACCCCCCTATAGTGTTCTCACCTTGTTTTTGCTGTACTGCAACAAAACACCCCGGTACTTTGGTCCATCCCCTAGCTTGACATTGCAGTTGTCAGTCTGAGCAGAGCAGCCAATTTGGATTACAAAGATAATTTTTCTGAAATAGATACAGTACGAGTATGAGAAATTCATCAAGTAATAGTAAGTTAAATCACTTGACAAGTAACACACACAAAAATCCTAAAACATTAATTAACCGTATCCGTACATCACGTTTTACTATCGTATCCATACGACGAGGGGAACTCTGAGCCACCACTTTCCAAAGAGGAAATTTACTCGTTAATCCGATCCGTACGCTTTGCATAGCAGTCTGTCAAAATGATTTTTAGAGAAATACTAAAAGTTTCAAAGAGATTTTTGCACTAGAACTATTCTTAAATGTGAAGAATGCAACCTCGGGGGTACAAAATGACCCCAAGGCGTACGGATAGGGTTAAGGAATCTTACCTACTATAGGTACAATACGTTTTTCAGGGACAAGGAATGTTTTCACCAAGAAAATTTTTGAAATAGATATAAATACATGATATATAGTATACAGTGGAACTTGGTTCAACGGAGTTGTCCGGCCTGGCCTTCAATTTAGTTGAATACGAGTGTTCATATACATGAGGTTTTGGGGTAGATAACTACAAGCATTGAGCAAGTAATGTAGGCTATAATGTACTCGACTTTCTCAACCAAAATTAGTTTGGTTTCAAATGAGAAGCATTTTCGATCATTTCTTGGATTCTGAAGTTATGCTGGAAAACTCCCGGAAATTACACTGAACTCTACCAAAGATAGTACAAGACAAGATGGGCCACTCAGCCTAAAAAGTGTCCGCAGGAAGTATGCTCTTTGCTTTAGATGGCGCTGCAGTCTGTTTTGAAGCTCTCTTTCGTTTTTCCAGAAGAAGAATAGGAATAGCACCTCCTTGCGTGCGCAGATCGACTGCTGTTCATCAGCAGTTCGGGTATGTTCAGTGCGGAGTTTTAGGTTTTTTAGAATTTTAATGACCTCTCGCCCTTCATTCTAAAGTCAAATTAAACGAAGAAAACCATCTCCTTTTCCTCCGGAAGAGGTTTTTTGTCAGCGTAATCATTTTAAAAAAGCGTTCTTCCGAAATTTATCCCAAAACTTGCTAGTTTCACTTTGATTTTTTAAAACTCAAGTAGGGTAACTCTGTTCACAAAGAGTGCGCTTTTGTGAAGAGGGCGCCACCAAATTTTGAGGACACTTTTTTAATTGGCTCAAAGAGAGAAGTGGCCCATCTTGTCTTGTACTATCTTTGACTCTACCAAGCACACAATGTGTAAAAGGGCCAATTTGTTCAAATGCTCGCCTGTGTCGTCTATTATCTAGATAACGTATTGTTTGCCGAACAAATTATGTTGCTGTGTAGAGCCTAGCATAGGGTAAAATTTGAATCCACAATCCAGTGCACAATTTATCACATATATAAATCTGCCAAGATTAGCTTATCATAGTAATATTTATCAGTAGCCGGTGTATCTCGTTTGTATCTCTACTGACGTTCTATGCTCAAGCCAGGCATAACAATTTTAAAATTCGATACTCAAAAGGACTGCATCTGTATTGAAACTTTTCATCAAGACCCCCATCAAAGAACGAAAAGAGTTATTCATGATGCGTGTAATGTTTTTGGTGTTCGTGCAGACCTGAACTAGATCTACATCATCACTTCATGTATAACAATATAACAGACATGAATAGTTTCGTGTACGGTTGGACTTACGCAATAATGGAATGTCACCATTTTATAATTCCCCCTCTTCATTGTGCATCATTTAGTATTAAAATTTTTCAAAAGTGTTTAGTCGTTATCCTAAATTTAGACATTTTCATTTTTAATGCAAAAAGTATTGTAAAATAACAAATCCAGTTTTCTCAATTATCTCAAAATCTCGATTATGTTAAAAGTGCAAAAAAGTGAGTAAGGCCATATTGGCAGCACCATGACGATGTGTGAGGTATTGTGGTGAAATCAGCTGCGCTCGTAAAAATGGTGAAATCAAAGAAAAAGGGCATTTTCCACAAATTTGGCAATTTCTATTGAATTTTGTTTTTTGGCTAAACACCTTTTATGTTCATATGAAAACACATTTCCATGTGAATTTTACTGAAAAACCTTGTTTAAAGGCACAAAACAAGTAATCTTCAGTTTTCAAGGACTTTTAAGCTATTGAAGTTACCAAACTTTGGAAGCCATTTTTTCATTAATTATACCACTGAAACCAGGCTACCCCACCTTCTTCAATCGCAAATATCTTGACTTCTATTCACTCTAGATCAATATTTTTTTCACTGAAAGCAAGGCAAATGAATAAGCTTTCAGATGTTATCAATAACTCCACATGTGCAAAAATTGATGAGCGCCTGATTCCCTCACGTCTTGACACATGTGAATTTGTCACAATGTGGTTGTTGCTACTTACATGGCATTGGTTGTGTCCATCTCAGCTGTGACAGCTTGCCGCTCACCGCAGCCGTTGAAGTAGAGCGTCTTACCGTGGGCGTATGGGAGAAGGGCTCCACAGCCAAAGCCTATGTCTCCACCCGTCACTGTCTGCCAGTAAGTGTTAGAAATTCTCCCCTCAAATGAGTCAAAAAGTCTCTTGAGCAGTTTTGATGGGTTTGGAATACAGGCAGGGCCTAGAAGAGAGAAATTGTAGAATTAAAGTCAATGATGAAATCAAGTTTAACACGGTCACTGTGACTGTCAATCATTCAGCTCAGCAAGCTTATTTTGCGTAATTTATATTTCATAATGCTTTTTTTGTTGTATGACCATGACTTCACAACAGATAAAACTGATAAAATGTTTAAAACGTATAAGGACTAAACTATTTCTGTTGTTGCTGTCATTGATCCCTAAACACAACCAAAGAGCCTTGGAAGGCCTACAATTGACTGTACAGCGAAACTCAAATAACTTATCTTGCAGAGAGGGTATCAAACTAAGTGAAAGGGATGCTTTGCTCAATGTGTAGTTGTGATCTTATTCTATTTTGACGAGCCTAGAGCCACCAGGGAATGGGCGCTATAGAAGTGATCTTTATTAGTATTTATTATTATATTATTATTATCATTAAATGTATACGGGAAGAAAATGCAGTTTCAGAACTTCTCCTGTGGTTCAAACAACTGAACACACACAAGTAGTCACTTACTGTAGTAGCCGTCATCACAGATACATTTTCCGTCACGGCAGTCTCCTCTCCCTCGGCACATGTCTGGGCACTGTTCTCCCACAAAGATGTCGTCCAGAGCCCATGTCACACTGCCGTTCTTGCCGTCCTGGACCCAGCGGAACTGGGTGGATCTAAATGGAAAAAACCCCCGCCAGACATTAATGTAAAGTCAGGCAAACAAAATAGCATAATGTCACAATTTTTCTTTTGATTTGAGGACCTTTAAATCAATGCAAAATATAAGTAGAATTATACTCAAATTGGAAAAATAAAAAGAGAAACAAGATCAACCTCATTGTAAAAAAAATTTAACCCCCCAGTCTATTCAATGATGGCATATACCTTTTGTGGGGGGTGTAATTAAGAACATATTGGATTAAAATTCTTAGTACATAACACCATCACCATAGAAATAAAAATAGAATCTCACGCAGAGAAAGTGTTCTCAGCCAATGGTATTGTGACCCTGGTCCAGGAGGGGACCTGCGAGACGGTGTACTGGCTGTCTCGGTGGTGGAAGTGTGGGTTACACAGGCCTCCGTTCTGGCTGCCGGGGAGGCATGTGGTCTGCACGGGCTCCCACTTCTCCAGGCGCGGGTTCCGGCGATACTCCAGTCTCACCGCCGCACTGTCTGGCACATTACACACATCCAGGAACCGGTCGCAGCCCATGATGATCTGTGGGTGTTGGAGAGATTGGAAAGAATATTTATCATGTCTACCTGCATGTGGTTTTACGACCCTGTACAGCCAAGAAAAATTTCCTTCTAGGACAATAAAGTATTATCTTATCTTATCTTATGACGCTTTGGAATTGTGGAATCAAGAGCTCGTCAGTTTTCGGGCATATGGAGTTTTTGGTATCATCTTAAAAAGCTTGTTTATTTGTGAAATTTTAGATGAAAAAATATCCATTTATCTTAAATACAAGTCGAGATATTTGCGATAGAAGGAGGTGGGGGTCGCCTGGTTTCAGAGGCAGAATGAGCAAGAAAATGGCTGCCAAAGTTTGGGTATTTCCACAGCTTGACAGTTTGTGGAAACTGAAATTTTACATTTTTGTTTATTTAATCAACCTTTTTCAGAAATGTGTTCTCAATTGGATGTCAAAGGTGTTGAGCCAAAAAGCAAAAATTCAACAAAAAATGTCAAACAACAACATTCAGTATTCTTAGAGGAAGTGTGCCTAAATTCTAGAAATCAATATTGAAAAGTATTCAATAAACTGAAGAAACTGACACTCATCTCTACCAGTGGAAGGAAAAAATAAAGTACAGTAAATAAAAGAAGTCTATTCAGTTTTACTACACAAGAAAAGCACTTGGACACACAAACACAACTGATCTCCTTTTATGAAACAAACAATTAATCATACTCCATAAAGAAATAGGTACCAGTTCAGTTTGCAAACAACTCTTTAGAATCTGAAAGTGTCAGCTGTATTTCATTAACTTAGACAACATAGCAACACCAAAGTCCGTACCTTGAACTGCAGCATGTAACCCCTCTGTACAATCATCTGATTGGTGGTGAACTTCTGGGTGCCCTTAGGTTTCTCTTTGTTCCCCTCTTCAGCCCTCCACACCATGGCTGCTCCTTGGTCTTTGAGCCTCTCACACTCCCCATCATCCCCCTCAACGACGCCGTGGGGACTGAACTCATAAGCAGACGGATCATCCTTCGTGATGTCGCCTCCGTCAAATGGCTGGAAGTACTCGCTGGGGTTCACCTCCCACCCTCCGATGTAGACGTCGTCGATGGCCCAGTGGACGCGAGGGCTGGTGCCGACCGGGGCGTCTGCCTGGACCCAGCGTACCAAAGTGCTGTTGGTGCGGGCTCCGACGGGAAGTGTGATGTAGTCACGTAGAGCCGGCCAGTAGCGTCGCGGTGACAGAGCATGGATGGTGTGCCATCTAATGCCTTCAAGTTTTAAACAGAAAAAAAAGGAAAAAAATTAACTCTCTCTCATGTTGAATCATGTATGGAAAAGCATGATGGCAGTTTGTTAGTGTCTGAGCTCTTAATCAGTTGCTAGTTTTGTATGCTTCCTGGGAAGCCGAGAATGTTTCTGGGTGTTCTAGTTCTCGGATCTGCTGAGGTACTGGAAATGACAGCTGTAAACTGTAAAGGCAACAGAGCATGGATATAATACACTATATATAAATACCATTGTTATTATTATTATTATTTTAAGAGGATATAGAAGAAATCAATATGGGCACCATAGAACATCAAGGCATTTTACCTGTTGACGCAGATCACAACTGAACATGAATATGAAAACATAAAAACACACTATTCTGTTAATAAATTTATAGCAAGACATCTTTAACAGAAAGAAGAACACCACACTGCATTTGCCTTAAGGGACAGTCTCTGCATAAGGGGAAGAAAAAAAATCTTAATAAATATATCCCCAGTACTCGGCCAATCTTGAAAGAGACATACACACCTCCATCCACAGAATACTGAAGGTAGACATTCTGGACTTTGTGATCTGGAGGCCTCAAGCACACAGCAGGTTGGGTTCCTTTGCTCCACATGTAGGCGGTGTACTGGATAAATCTGAAAAATGGCACAAAGCCCACACCAGTGGAGAAATGAAGATAAAAAAGTGCTATAGAATAGAATGGTAGCTCCCAGGCTTCTGAAGTAACTTATGGGACTTTGGCTTGGGAATAATCTAATTTATGATAATAATGATGATGATAATAATAATAATAATAATAATAATAATAATAATAATAATAATGATAATAATAATAATAATAATAATGAAAATAATTTCTTCAGTGCCCACTCATGTACAAAACAATTTTAGGCCATACTTTCATCTCAACACAAAACACAAGTAAATGAACATACAAACGTACACTCTTTAGATTAATACTAACACATAAGCAAACATTCATACTATGACAGCATAATGGATAACAATTACATGTACATCACATTATGAATATAAGAGTACTTTGAATAAGAAAGACTATCTATCAAAATGGCGATGCGGTTTGTTTTTTAAACGAATCTCAAATTTTGCTTCCAACTTTGTATCCCTCAAGTACAGTGGGAAAGAGTTCCAGAATAATGGAGAAAAGATAAGAAAAAGACCTTCCAGCTAGTTTTTGACCTCCTTTCTCCCCTTTTCTCATAAGAGACTGACCTCCTGATCTTAGAGATCTTGTTGATAAATAAACATGAGTGAGGTTGCTTAAATACAAGGGGGCTTTATTGTTAACACAATTATGGCATAGGAGAACAATCTTGTAAGTAATTCTAAATGCTTTTGGGAGCTAAAAGAGTTTACCTAAAATTGACGTGATATGGTTGTTCTTTCTCTTTTTAGACACAATTCTCGCAGCTTAGTTTTGAAAGCGCAGAAGCTTCAAGTAACCTGACAGTATACAGCTTACAAAGTATTTTATTTATTTATTTATTTTTTTTATAGTAGAGGGTTTTACGCCACTCGCAACTGCATTAGGTCAAATGAGCTCCAAGGGGTGGGTGTCAACAGAGAAGTCTTTACAGGGAATCAGACTTAGACTGCTCACCTCTCTAGCTTCAACAGCACAAGGTCTGCTTTCACTATCAAGGCACCCCAAAATAGCAGGTCACAAGGGAGTGACAAACATACAAAAGAAGTAGAGTAAAATGACAATAGTAAGGATTAAAAAAGAAAAAGCAGCTGTTCCCTTTTGTAGATCAGGCACAGTTATGAGCGTGACATGAGTCAGCCCATTTACAATTCTACTATGCTTGAACGAGATATGTCCCCCCTTTGGGAATGGCATAAAGACACTTCAGTCAGTGGCACTGCCCCGGGGGGTTTACAAAGTATGATCAGTAGCATAAACACATTTTTCAAATAATGCCATCAAATAGGCCCCTACTTTAATTTTCAAACTGCATATAGTGTACCTACATGTCTGTTTCCTTGTTACACACATTTCTGCTATTGCATTTTACTTGCTTTTAAATCTTGAACATGATCATGAGCCTCTGCTCAAACATGCAAACCCAGTACTTTGAGCGTAGATTGGAAATCTGTCAGCGACTAAATCAAAAATGGAAAGTTAGCTCCAGTCATATGTCTTTAATGAAGTAGTTCATGATACCAACACTTTGTGCAGTTGTGATGTGAACTAGCTCAAACTTTGAAAACATTAAAGATACACTTTCACATAGAAGATGAGATATGATATTTCCGTTCTCTACAGTTACAAACAAAATAAAACACTGCATCAGGTTAAGTTATAGGTCTAAGTGATTGTTACAACAATTCTTAAAATGTGGTATATCAAGTTCAAACACATTGCCACAGAAACCCTCACAAACCTGGCATTCCTGAGGTCAAGAGAACTGGTCACCAACTCACGAGCCCCGGGCCCGTTGAAGGTCATGGCCGGCCCTTGTACGACAGTCTCGCATGGCTCCTGTACTTGTCCCCCCTGAGCCCACGGCCATTTGGTGGCGTTCAGTTCCAGCTCCACATCAAAGCTGTCCTTTAGCTGACTCTGGACAGATTAAAGTAAAAAGGTATTTTGATGAAAAAAAAATATTCTTAAAATGAAATGACCTTAGGCTTTAAGTAGAAATTAATTAAATCAGACATTTTTCGTCATTTAAAATTGATATAGGAGGATCCAAGAATACAGCTGTCCTTTCACCGAGTCTATAAATTATAGAATACAAAGCATTCTGAGGGAAAAGAACAAAGGTAATAATAACTTTTTCCTAGTGTTGATGAACAGTTTTAAATTGAATTATATTAATAAAGAGGAGTAAAAAAAATTGGTTTTGAGGTGCAAATAAAGTCCAAACAAGTTTAAAAAAAACTGAGTGAGAACCTATGCTTTACCAAAATTAGGAATGACAAAAATGGCTGCAAAGTCAAAATGGCATCATCAATACATTATCATTGTACTCAAAGGAAAGGACAAATATTGCATAGACTTCTATTCACATAAACATTTATTAACTTTCAAACAATTAGCAGATTTGATAAATAAGATATATCCGAACAAATCTGATTTCTAACAATATTTCAAAGGTTAAAACTTGGCGACAACGTACCAGTACTCCGCCAACGTAAAAGATAGAACAGTCGTCCCCTCCATAACCCTCATCACACACACACATCTCGTCAAAGCAATAGCCGTGACCGTAGCAGTCCTTGTCACAGGAAGGTCCGATGTAGATGTCTCCCAGGGCCCAGTCCTGAGAGTCTGGCATCCCATTGGGGAGTTGCTGCCAGCGGAACCTTGTGCCACTGCAACAAATCAGGGAAGGTCACTGTAAATCACATAGTCGAACCTGCCTGTCCCCGGGGTTTTATGCACCCTGCATAGTTTAACAAAATTTGATCATTTTCTGCATAATTTCTGATTATTTTCCTTTATCATTCTTTGTTAAAGTTAACAGAATCGCATAATTTCACATTTTTGGGCTCAGTTTGCATAATTTCAGAATTTTTTTTTTGGCATAAAGTGGCAGGGACAGACCTGCTCTAACAGCCACCCGTCCGAGAAAATAACAAAATGCCACTTTCCACAACCCCACCCCCTCCACCCCGTGTTTTTTCTCTATAATAATGATACAGTCCAAGTAAGATGTCTACTTGTCTAAAACAATAACTTTTCTCCTCGACAATGGGTGCCTGTCTTGGATAATTCTGACTGCATAAACATACAAATCACACATCTTGACACCGATTTGTAAAATGCTAGGGAACTAGGCCAACACAGGTTTTTGTTAGAGCATCTGAACAGAGAAATGAGTGGCGAACTATGATCACCAATGTCAGTTTCAGATCTGGCACAAGAAGAAGAAGAAGAAGAAGAAGGGGGGGAAGAAGAAGAAGAAGAAGAAGAAGAAGAAGAAGAAGAAAGAAGAAGAAGAAGAAGAAGAAGAAGAAGAAGAAGAAGAAGAAGAAGAAGAAGAAGAAGAAGAAGAAGAAGAAGAAGGAAAAGAAGAAGAAGAAGAAGAAGAAGAAGAAGAAGAAGAAGAAGAAGAAGAAGAAGAGGAGGACGAGGAATTAGAGGAGGAGGTGGAGGACAACAACAACAACAAGAAGTTTTAGTAAGTGTTTTACGACACTTGCAACACAAAAAGGTCATATAAGTGCTGAAGATTAAAGGTGTTACAAGAGAGTAACAAACACAAAAAAGCAGGAGGGGAGATAAAGACGATAGATGTTTGATAGGAAAGAAGAAGTAAACCACACCAGAGCACCCGCCAACCACCCACAACAACAACAACAACAGCAACATCAACAACAACAACAAGTTTACCTAGACACAGGCAGGCCAGTCAGAGGTAGGACCACCCTCCTCCAGTTGTCATGGACCCCGTGGTAGTGAGAGACGGCGATGCCCGAGTGTGGGGAGCAGGACGTATCTCTCTGGCACAGAGACACCAGGTCAGTCCAGGTCATGCCGTGGTCGGTGGAGTACTGGACATTCACCTGCAGGGACATTACAAGAACGTGAGACAAGCATACACACTTGCAGCAAGTCTTTCCCACACATTGGAAATGTGTAAGGAAGCAGAGCTAACAAATATAGATCTAGTGACCAGAAAAATTTTTCTTTAAAAAAAGTGAAAGAACATTCATCCTGGAGCAAGAAGGAGTACTTTTTTAAAAGCCATCGCTCATTCATGCCCAGTAAGGGAGTCATTCGTTGATTAATGTTCCTAATGACTTGCTGACAGGGACACAAGGAACAAAAGAGTACACTCTTGTTTTCATTTCAACTATTAATGTAAAAGCTCTCACTAATTTTTGTAAAAAAAAAATTAAATTATCGATAAACTATCCTATCTACCAGCATACATACCTTCTCATCAGTCTGTCTGTTTATCATACAATCAAAACATGGATTGATCTACTTATGTACTCAGCTATTTACGTCCTTACCTAATCATCCATCTAATTTCACTATTGTGGCAATTTACAGAAGATATTAATTGCCTATACTGATGTACTACTAACCATTCTGCGTCATCCGTGTGGGAAAGCTCAGCTGCCAAGAGATTCAAATAAAAACAACCAAAGAAAGAAAGAAGTTGATGTGTGCTGTACAGGGGATCAACAAATGGTGGTTCTTTTTCTGGGAGGGGCAGTTCTTTTGCTGGGTGAGGGATTTTGGTTCAACTACACCAAAACAGTTTCCAAACAAAAGAACTTCAACTGCACCTATGATTACCCCAAGATGGCTATGGCATTTTTTCAATACCAAATTTTGGTAATAATAATTCATCAGTATCTCATGTAAGGACAACTTACAGGCTGCAAAGACGTGTCCCAGTCCTTCCCACAGCCAACATTCATGGAGAACTGCAAGACGTGGCCATCAGTGACCTTGACCTCACGGGAGGACAAAGTTGACGGCTCCTCCGCTTTAGTCTTGCCAATAGCAACTCCGTCTTTACCGCAGTACTTGCCCACCTCCATGTTATCGGCTGTGATCAGATCCAGAAATTCAAATCCCGAGGTGAAGTTGACAGAGAGAAGCAGTGGATTGATCTCCTCTCCGTTGATGCGGATACCGTCCACCAGCCAATCATCCTTCTGCTCCCCGCCATGTCGCGGCTGCCACCAGCGGACCAGGGTGCCCTCTCGTTTAGCACTCTCTGGGATTCTCAGACTGATAAATCTGAAAGTTTCCATATGTTGAAAAAAAGAGTCCTCAGTTAGACTGCACACATTTAGGAGGGCTCAAGGATTAAGAAAAGCAAGAGCTCTCATGCTACGAGTGGCAAATCATATAATCATTGAAAGAATATATATATATATTATACTTTCGGCAATCTGTCAAATATAAAATTGTGGATCAATATCCAATTAACAACAAAATTCAAAGGTGTTTTTTAAGAACAGAAAATCACTTCTAAATTTTACACCTGAACTACACTATGAATTGCAAACAAAGGATTTAGCTTTTCAGACAGATTTCTTAATTCCTGTTTAACTCATTTCAAATTCCTAAGACTTTCTATTTTAAAGTTCTGGAGCTATAACCTTTAAAGTTTTCACAATCTTGCCCTCTTCATCTTTACAATTTTGCTGCTATTTCTTTGTTGGAAGTTTGACATTGTAGAAGAAACAAAGCATGTCATTTACAAGGTAGGGAACTTGGTCTACTGACTGGAACAACAGACAAGAAAATCAAGCATTCTGGCAAGGATATGGACAATTTAGACACAACATACATTTAAACCTGATGCTTCTTAATGTTGACCAAACTTTTAAAAACTCAACAATAGTAATTCGCTAAAACAGGCAAAGCTTAAAAAAAAACCCCAACCAAACCGTTTGAGTGAACCTACACTGGTGTCCTGTACAGGTTGTAGTGCATCTCCGTGATGAGCTCCCAGGTGATGCCCCCGTCCGTCGAGTGCTCTAACAGTACACCGCTGTCTCTGTGACCAGGAGCTTGGAGACACCCATACAGGAAGTAGAACTGGATGAACATGGCTCCAGTCAAGTTCAAAGGTCGAGTCTCCAGCTGTCTTGAGCATGACTGGAATATAATTGATGACACAAGAGGGAAAATCAATTAAATTTCCTCCTTTCCTTGAATGTATAGATATTTTTCCGTGCTAGGGCTAACACCATTCAATCCTGACTCAAGAACTAAGAAAGCAGTTACCCATTCAGCAATTTAATATGAGCAAGGGCCTGATGAATAGGAGGCAGTAGTTAATGTGAAGATTTTTCATAACTTTAGAAGAGTTCAAGTTGTGCTAAGATAAATGGACAGATATTTTATCAGTCTGGTGAACAAAAAATCCAGCCAATCCTTGAGCCCCATTTAGCTCAGAAAAGCCAAACACTCCTTCTCTTCCCTGGCCAGTACATCGTTTTTACTTGATCAATCCTTGCTATTTCTTCCTCTATGTTCCAATAATCAAGGTAACATATTGGAGTTAAGTTTTCAGCCTGTATTTCCTTAAAAAAAACTTTGTCAATAAACATAACATTTCTCTGTTCTTACACCTTGACCAAAGAAATGAAAATGACTAATGAAAAGAATAGGTTTGGCACATCATTAAAATAAAACACTGAGAACTGACAAAGTTTTTGCAAAAAGAAATATTGACATCACATTTATTGAGAAAAACAAAAATTTTCATTTAAAAAGGTTCAGTTAAGACACTCTATAACATCTGAAACTTGTCAATCTTTGAAATTTTCCAAAAAATTCTATCTGTAAAAACTGACCCCAGTGAAGTGGAGAGCCTGTCCTGCAGACAGTCTACGGCAGGGCTCCACCACCGACGCACCAACAATTTTAGACCAGTTGTTCTCATCAGGACCATCCAGAAAATCCTCCACAAGGATGCTGGGAAGGTTCGTCTCACTCTGCTCACACACAGCTCCAGACCAGCCTTCGTCACAGCTGGGGAGATGGAGAAGTTCACTAAAGTTCAAGGCCAAACTAGGAGCACAGAAAGAGCAACCAGACAACAGTGTTAACTACACAGAAATAAAAACTATTATAAAACACTATTTAAAGCACCTCAGACACCAGATGGCTACGGTACCATGAGCTGTCCCGCCAAGAACAAGTGATTATCTTCAGACTAAGGACACAACACACAAGACTGAGACAACATATGTACAAATGTTTTAAACTAGTACAATCACCAAAATGCCAGTGTGGAGAGGCGGACCAAACTGTTGAACACATCCTTCAGCACTGCAAGACACACAGGGCCCTGAGACAGGAAACGTGGCCAACCCCACTGACGCTACAAGAGAAACTTGGGCCGACAGATGAACTGAGCAGGACGGCCCAATTTATGACAGAAACTAGACTACAAGTGTGATGCGATCGAGAAGAAGAAGAGAAAGACCTGTAACATAATGGACAGGGAAATGTGTCCCTTACCATGGAAGCACTTTGGGGTTTTCCCCCATAGGATACCGAATGACGAGGCTAAAAAGCCATCTCTTTCTACCAACGGGACACCGATGGGTGACAGTGTGACGTTACAAAATCATTGTAGGAATTATCTCCTTTTGGGCATATGCACTTGTTAAAGTTTATAAATTCCTTCCGGAATGTTTTGTGTGGCTTTTGTTGAGAAAAATCAGTTTGTTTACATTGACTGAAGTGAAAATCTTTTTAAAGTATCGAGTAGACCTAGCACAAATGCTGCTTTACAGTGTTGCCAGGATGAGAAGTTGGGTTATGAATGTTTTAATGGTTTCGGTAAGCAAAATTCAGAGACAGAAAAAAAATGCAGGACAGCGATGAGAATCATCTGACTTTGAACCACGTTAGAATGCACTATACCTAAGCATTAAAATATCCCAAACAATTGGTTCAAATAAAGCTAGCAGTGAGACTATAAACAATAACTGCTTTCATATTCAGACTTTTGGAATCTTCAATAATTATAATACATCAGAAGAGGGGTTGCGAAAGAATGTAAAAAAGACAGAATGGAGTTGAATGTGATACTTCAGAAGAGCAATCAATGAAAATGAACTCTTGGCACTGTAGGGGTTACAGCTCAGTCTGAAGTATTATATGACGTTATGGCCACAACACCAAAGTTAGAATAATAAGATAACAGTACACACAGGGGTACCGACGAAGTAAAAATAAAATAGTTAATAATATCCTGGACTAAGAGCAAACCATGCAAATAAAATTTGATATAAGGTTTTCATACTTTACTGCATTGTACATAAAAATAAAAGTTGGTACCATATTTTTAGAATTCAGATATCTCCACGAGACCCCTTCTGTTGGTACAAAAACCAATTAAAACTTAAAAGCACAAAAGAGGACACGAAGAGAAGTGGGATTTACCAAGGGAGTGGAGACGATAACCTGGCGGGCCAAATAAATATAGCTGTGCAGAGTTAGGAATAGGGATGTTGAGCTAAAAGCAATTTTAATAGGTTGCAAAAAGTGTAGGCCTCGTTAGTAGCTTTGAACAAAAAGAATTAAAGCTGATTTCCCAAGATAAAAAAAAAGAGACAGGGAGCAAAAAGGCATGAGGGGGAAAAAGTCTACAATACTCTATAATTCCTAAATTCCAGAAAAGCGTCCCACCAATACGAGCGTAAGTGACAGAGAGTTCCAAAGGGTGCCAGTGGACACTTACACACAGAGGTCTCCCCGGCATTGACCGTGGCCTGAGCATCTGTTGGGGCAAGTGGAGCCCACATACAGGTTCTGTACAGCCCAACTCTGGTCAGTGCTGTACCCTGGTCGCTGGTACACTCTGAACCTTGTGTGGGTGGACCTGTGTTTGAATGAAAAGTTAAAAATAACATACTTTAGCATGTAATGACAATGACAATCGTTATTCATCTCACTGGGAGAAATATGTCTTGGTCGTTTACAATGGCAGCGGATGTTGCTAAGGTTAGATGCACATATGCAAGCACACAACAAGACAGGACATGATTAAATGCATGTTTTACGCGCTGAAACAACCCTGCTCCCTAAAATATTCTCTCTCTTTCCCTCTCTGTTTCATTTGTAGCTCTGTGTGTTCAGTAACCTCACTGCATTAGGTATGAATGAATTTCTATATCATATCTGTGTGTTCTTGCTTTCTTGGAAATATATCATTTACTGCAGTTTGATAATTTATTTGAAATTCGGATGTCTGTCAGTGGATGGCTATGGTCATGTAGCATTGTTTCCACCTTTTTTAGAACATTTGTCTTGTGCAGATATTCAAAGCTATTTAGGTCCCAACAATTGTTTTTTTGCCTTTCTGATCAACTAAAAGCCACATTATGTGGCCATCACAAGCGCTGAGCCAAAAACCACATCACAAATCCAGTGTCCAGGAAACAGCACCATAAGGTATCATGGTTCCATGAGCTTCAGATTACATAACAAGCTTTTCAAAATAATTTTAACAGGGAAAGAATGATTTATACAGGGAAGTAAAGGAAGAAAAAGAAACTTGCTTGCTAAATTAAAAACAAGAAGTGAAAATGTATACATCTGTACATTTTGCCAACAGCATTTCAAGTAACTATTTGTGATAAAGTATTACGCCTTAACTTTGTACAGGATGTAGGCCTATTAAGAAACCCCCAGTGAAGCTTGCTTAATTAATTACAAAGAAATGGATACTATTTTTCGTATGATGCAAGATTACTTTTTTTTTGTATTAAAAAAAAGTGCACTTGAGCATGGAAAGGAAAGAATACTTTTTGTCTATACCCTACTTGAAGGACATTTCATCCAAGAGTTGGTCACTGTAATTTTATATCAAATCTAAATGAACAACACTCTAATTTGCCACTGTGACATAAAATCAATGAGAGAGAGTGTTCTGTGAGTATAACTTGACCACTGGACGCACAGAGCAGAATTTTGGCCTTCAGGTTTGACTGTGAGAGATAGGTGATATGGTCCAGAAAATAATCTTCAAGGTGCAGCCATACAATATATTCTGAGAATTCCAAAATTAATAAATTTCATAAAAAGAATCACTCCATTTAGTGACAGAGAATGCCAAGAGGTGCTAGAAGATACAAACACTCAAAGGTAAAACAGAGTACCTGAAAGATGTCATGGTTTGTCGATGTATAAGTTTAAAGCCCCTTGCAACACTGTAAGTTTAGTCAAGAGGTGGGACTTCCGAATTTAACATAAATCTCCGATACGACCAATAGCCAAATGGGCGGAAAACCTTAAAAACTCCCCAAAACAACCCAAGTTCAGTACACTCTGTTGGGGATTCAAACCACACCATCCATTCCGCAGTCCAGCATGACATCAACTGAGCTAACGTGTATCCTCCCTGAAAGAGTGAACAACAATGAACAAGAGAAAAAAAAAAGCAAAATGAGACATGTAAAGAAGTGCTGCAAAATTAAAAAAAACCCTACTCACCAAGCGCTCTGCGGTACAGGCACGGAGATTCTGTTCCAGCCCGGGTATAAGTCGGAGGAGAACGTGGAGCTGAGATGGTAGGAGCCGCAGCCCACCATAGAGGGCAGGCAGGCCGGGAGCAGCAGCTGCCAAGTCTTGCCCATGTCCAGGGAGTATTGCAGGTACAGAGCTTCGAAAGGAGGAGAAAAAAACACATTTGTGAAGCATTGAGGGGAAATTAGGCGCTTGTCAAAATAACAAAATCGGAGAAACAGTCATTTTCCTGCCAATTAGGCAATTTTTATCGAATTTTTAGCGTTGATTAAAGGCATATATAATTTTTCAGTTTTCAAGGATTCTACAGCTATTTGAATTACTATTTTCTAGCTAATTTCACCACTGAAACCTGAGTGAGACCTCTCCTCCTTCAATTGCAATATCTTGACCTCTATTCGAGATATATGGGCATTTTTTTCATTGAAAGCAAAACAAATGAATAAGCTTTCAGATGATACCAATAACGCCACATGCCCAAAAATTGACGAGAGCCTGATTTCACACGTCGTGACACATTTTTGTTAATTTTATTCTGCTTCAGGTTCTCCTGTGAGATCTCAGACATCATCAACTGCTACTTCTTCCACCTGCAGTGCAACTGATTTTTACATATGTAACTTATATTTTTCTTAGTGATTAAAAAGAGAAAAAATTAATCAAAATGGTAGTCACTTATAGCTGGACGTGCTGTTTGCTCAATTGGCTTTATGCTGGACTGTTGGGAGGAATATCCTTGTTTGAAAATGAAATGGGATGTTTTTAGTTTAGTAAGGGTTTTACACCACTTTCAACACAATTAGGTAATATAAATTTCAAAGGTTAGAGGGGTTACTAAAGAGCAACATGCAAAGAAAAGGAGGAGGTGAGATAAGGACGATAGATGTTTGATAGGAAAGGAGTAGTAAACCCTACCAGAGCACTTGCTAGCCACCACTCAAAGAAAAAAAAATGTGTTTCAGATGAAGGTATTGTAAAGCGCCTAGAGCTGTTTCGTACGTGAGCGGGCGCTATAGATCTGCATTATCATTATCATTCTTTGGCAAAAAAGGTCAGTTTGAACCATGCTTTCATCTAGCTTTTAGCCTCACAACTCACTGAAACACTCTGCTTTTCTGTTCTTTTCCTCATCACACCCCATGGACAGATCAAACTGGAGTATACTGAGCTGGTTCACAGAGACGTCTGCCGTACTTGCATATCTCTCATATTCTTGGCCTGGGGGACAAAGATAATAATAATAATAATAATAATAATAACAATAAAGATAATAATAATGATACTAATACTAATACTTATAATAATAATAATAATAATAATAAATTTCACTCATGTAGCATATTGCCAATAAGAAAATGTTAACAATAAAGCAAACAACATGTGCACCATTCAGTTCCAATAGTGATCCTTTCTCTCAATTTCTCACTCTCTCTTTCTCTCTCTCCCCATTCTTTCACCAGTATATGCATGAGCAGCGAGTTTCATTTTAAAAAAATCCAAACTCTACATACAAAACCAATCACAGCATATAAATGTTTCATATATATGTTTTATCACTGGGAACAAACAGTTCAACAGTACCACTATAGTATGCTATCCTCTTTGAAAGCGCAAGTAAGGATTATTATGATTGAAGGGTGCGGAGGTGAAAAACATGAAGTATTTTCATTTCTATAAATAACCTTTGGCTCCAACACTTAAGTCGATAAATGTTTAAAAGGAAAGAAGAAAGAAGGAGCAAACCACACTAGATCTAGAGCATCTGCCAACCATCCACAACTAAGACTTTTGTCAAAATTTTGATATCCTATAGTATGTTCTGCGTGATAAAAATGTATTTTTCTAGTCAGTTCAGCTTTCTCATAATAATAGTATTACTACAGCAGACCCTAGAACACTCTGAAACATTCTCAGCTTCCTGGGAAAGCAGATAAATAAAAAAATAAAACTATGGAAAGCATACACTGCAAGCTGCAGATTACATACGCTCAAACACTATCAAACTGACAAGATCTTTCGCAGTCTATAGCTGGGTACAAATTCCAATCCAGGTGAATGAAGAAAATTAATGTAAAACGTCTATGCTATTAACCTTTAAAGTGCAGGGCCAAACCGTCTGAGTCACAGTAAGGCTCTGTGCGGGCTCCAGGGTGTTCCAGCCAGGTTGTATTGAGGGGAGCGTCCGGCGAATCTTGCAGGACTATCTCTCCGTACATGTTGCCCCCGATGTATACCTAGACAAGGGGTATACAGAAACAATGAAAATACCCATGATGCTTATCTAGACAGGGGGAATACAGAAACAATAAAGTTAGAAAATGCTAAAGATAGTTTACCCTTGGGCTGAGGAAGAGGAGGAAGATAAAGAGGAGAAGGAGGACTAGGAGGACTGGAAGGAGGAGGAGGAATGGAGGGAGGAGGAGGAGGAAGAGAGGAGGAGGAGGAGAGGAGGAGAAGAAATAGAGAAAGTCATCATCAACATAATATGCCAGATCTGGAACAGACATCAATAGGCAATTACGGTTTACAACTCATTTATTTGTTCGGATGCTCACAAAAAATCTATATCGTCGTGGTCTTTTCCCCATCGCCCATCTGAACAGGTTTTCCCAAGTAAGTTGCTCCGAGCCTACCTCTTCCTCTTTTGCCTTCTATTTTTTTCACTGAGAGCAAGGTGCACACGGCCTTTATGTCAATTCAAATATCACAGAAACTGCATTTGCCTCTTCAGACCCAGTGGCAAATATATTACTCCTCCATCGAGACCATTTAGACCATTCAGGAGAAGTGCTGCTTCCACCTGTTAGGATTAACCGGGACTGAGAGGGAAACGACATCTCACCATAAAATATTTTTTCCCAGAAGAAAATAAATTCACATCTTTTTGCACGGCAAGTGAAGAGTCAAACTATACTACACCCTGAGTGCGGAGAAAAAGGAAGACAAAAGAGGGGGGAAAAAAGGGAAAAATACCAAGTCAATGTTGTAAAACTCATCATCTCCTTGTTGTAGCTTTGCCAATATCAGACAGACCAAGTTAGATAGGTAGGTAGGTATGATGGATAGGTAGGTAGGGATGTAGTTCAATAAGTGAAAAGGTACTCAGTAGGTAAAATGGAAGAAAAGGCAGGTCAGGGTAGGTAGGTAGGAACGGTAGGTAGGTAGACAGGTAGGTAAGTATGTAGGTATTTAGGTAGGTAGGTAAGCAGACAGGCAAGAAGGTAAGTAGGAAAGTAGGTAGGTAGGTAGGTAGGTAAGTGGGTAGGTAGGTAGATAGGTAAGTATGCAGGTAGGTCAGTGTGCAGATAGGAAGGTAATTAAGTCAGTCAGTGTGCAGGTGGATAGGTAAAAAAGTAGGTCAATATTCAGGTAGGTAAATAGGTAGGCCACGATGCAGGTAGATAGGAAAGTGTGCACAAACTCACCTGGTCAATAGCCCAAGCTTCCCCATACCGGCCATCCTTTGACGGCTGCCACCAGCGGATCTGCGTGGAGTTGGTGAGGGCTCCGAGGGGAATGTGCACAGCGATGTACTGGGGCTGGTTGCTGCGTGGGCCAAAGTCAAACTGCTCGATGGTGTTCCACTTGACTCCACCATTGATGGAGTACTGCAGGAAGACTGGAGGCGAAGGGGTCACTGTCTTGTTGCAACCCAGCTTGATGTAGAACTGAATAGTACTGGGGATGAAACAGGCACGTTGCATTCCACATTGTAATAAAGGCTTCAGATTTTTTAAAAATACATATATAATAAACACTAGTGGGTTGTCAGTGGATGACAAAGGCCAGCAGAGAAAACTGTATACAAACCAGCAGTAGGCAACGGGAAACCACTGCTGTAATATCCCAAGAATAGTCATGGAAAAGTAAGGAAAGATCAGGGAAACATAGCTTTTTTGAGAGCATCCGAGCAAAGGAATGAATGGAAAACCATGATCGCCGAAGTCTGTCGCAGATCTGGCACTGGATGATGATGATGATGATATAACAAAGATGAAAACAGATATAAAACCCTTGCAGGGTATTTTATTTTATCTTATTTTATTTATCTTTCCTTTTCCATTCTCAAAGCTTCTACATAATTAAATGAAACATGGAGAAAACAATTGCATATAGGCCTAACAAAAGAATTGTGAATTATGTTTCCCTCTAATCTCTAATATTCAAGATATTTGCGACTGAAAGAAGTGAGGTCGCCTGATTTCAGTGGTGAAATTAGCAAGAAAATGCCCAAAGTTTGGAAACTCCAATAGCTAAAGAGTCTTTGAAAACTGAAAAATGACATAATTTGTGCCTTTAATCAATGTTTTTCAGTGAAATTCAAAGGGAAATGTGTTTTTATACGGACCTAAAAGAGGTTCACCACGCTGCCTCACATATACAAAAATGACAATCACTGAGGCTGCTGATCACACTTGCTATTGAGGTGGAATTTTGCAGTGAAAGCAGCGACAAGTGGCTATATATCCCACGGCGCTAAACCATAAATCAAGACATTCATTTACTTTGCTCTTGACAGGTCAAGCGGCACAGTGGTCAGCGTCCTCTGACCTTCCCCGTCGTGGACAAAGCTATCGTCTGTGAAGACTTTGCCACACTTGTGTCTGCTGGAGGAGATGCCACTGGACCAGTACAGCCAGTTGTCCTCGTTGATGTCTTCACTGGCTGAGGAGCAAACACATACACGGGTAAATTTAAAAAAAAAAAGGAAAAACAAGTTTGGGTTTTTTAATTCCTTTTTTCCTTAGAGTCTGTCCATTTATTTTCCTACTTTCTTTGTCTTTTAGCAGGATTTTATCCATTACCAGCTTGCTAGGCCCATCCTAACTTCACCAGAGTCCCATTGGTAAGCTACGTTTCAGGGTGACCCGGGTTGGCTTTCACGGCATAAAGCCACAGCGTATTTCACTTTGTCCTGTTTCAATCTCCCTCGTTTTGGACGAGGGTTTGGAAGAGACACAGGTTGCAAAAAGAAAAGGAAAGTTGGGAAAAAATATGCCGCAGGGTGAAAAACTACTGTTTTCTGTCCCCTTCCTTGTTTCTTCTTACCACCGCGTGGATCATGAAGACTAGCACAAAATGAGGAAAGACGGGAGTATGTTTTGTTTTAGTAGAGGTTTTACGGCAATCGCAACTGCATAAGGTCATATGAGTGCCAAGGGGTAGATGTAAACACAGAAGTCCTTACAGGGAATCAGGCTTACTCTGTTCACCTCTCTAGCTTCAACAATACAAAGTCTGCTTCGGCTATCAAGGCACCCTGGAAATAGCGGGTCACAAGAGTGTGACAAACATACAAAAGAAGTAGAGGAAAATGACGATAGTAAGGATTAAGAAAGAAAAAGCAGCAGTTTCCTGTTGCAGTTCAGGCACACTTATGAGCATGAATTGATGAATCAGTCCATTTACAATTCTACTGTGCTTAAGAACATGTTAATGTTCTCCTTTGGGAATGGCGTAAAGATACTTCAGTCAGTAGCACTGCCCCGGGGGCTAGACGGGAGTCTAATGATCAGTATGGACTAAACTTGAAGACCTTGACTTTGCAGATGATCTTATTTTACTTTCACACTGTCACCAATAGATGAAGGAGAAAAACAAGGGATATTGTTTTGAGTTTGAATATGGTAAGAGTTTTACAGCACTCGCAACTGCATGTGGTCTTATGAGAACGTGGGACACAAGTTTTTTGTTTTCGTAAGTGTTATACGGCACTCGCAACTGCAGGACACAAGTTAGTTGTTTTCACTTTAGTTTACAGTACAGCTAAGTCTGACAGTGTAAAGTCAGAATTGTTGAAGTAAAGAGATGTTTTTACACATCTTAGAAACATATATGGAAATCAGAAACTATTGGAACAAAAATCAAGACAAGGACTTTCAACATCAATGTCAAAATTATGCAACTTAACAGACCAGAAACATGGCATCTACAACATGGCATCTACAACATGGCAACTTCTAAAAAGTTACATGGATTGGTCAACATTTGCTTAAAAAATATAAGAAATGAAGAACAACGGGATCAAACAAATCAACAGAAAATAAACGTAGAAAAAATCAGAAAAGGAAAAATGGAAGTGGACTATACACACCTTGAGAAAACAGAAAACAAACATCACCTGTCAAAGTCAAACCCTAAAGAATCCACAAGGAAAGAGAAAAAGAGGAAGGCCTAAAAGTTCTTTGAGTGGGGACTTAGATTTGGACCATTTAGAGATCATATACAGCTGGACATAGATGGAGACTATAGCCCTGGAGAGAAGAAGATGGAGAGTTCTTGCTGGTGGCCTTTAATCCAGCATGGGATGAGAAAGACTGATGAAGGTGGGAAATTTTTTTAGAAATTGCTAAATTACTTTTAAAGAATGAATGGAAACATCTGCTGAGAATGGACAAGAAACAAAACTCAAAAAAGGTTTGTACAAACTAAGAAGCAAGTGACTAACTACATATTGTCAGTTATTTAAAAAAATTAAAATTTGTAAGAGGTGAGGAAGATGTTAGGATGTTAGCTTAAAATGATGCAATCAATAACATAAAGCAATCTTGAATAGTTAGGTGTACACAAATACACAAAAATTCCCAATCTGACAAATCCTAACGTAAATATGGGACACGAGCAAGTTACCTACCGTCTATGATGGTAGTGGTAGGGAGGTGGGACCCACCCAGGGGCCTGAGGTAGATGTCTTCACTGCCAAAGTCGTCCTTCAGGTACCATGGGTGGTCTTCCTCCGCCACACAGGACGGTCCAATATAGCCTTGGTCACACTCGCACCTCATACCTCCTGAGAACATTAATGTAACATTTTATCAATGAAAACAGAATGAAAAAATCCCAATCCGAGGTCTTTTTCTTCTTTACGTTCCCCTGCTAGATCTCAGAGGTAGTCGACTGCTGGTTCTTCAACCCGAAGTGCTACTGATTTTTTACGTATGTGACCATTTTTCCTACTCTAGAGGCAGCCACTTTCTGATTTCGAAGGTACTCTACATAATGTTTTTATACTGACTACAGTATTTTCAGTTTTGGTAGAAATAGATTTAGAATTTTGCTAGAGCGGTGGCTAATTCCATTTTAGCACCATCGAGTATCTCAGTCTGCAGGGATGCTGTATCCACACTCCTCTTAAATAATCTAAATTGTGTTGATGGGGGTGTAAAAAGTGATTTGACCTTAAGTAATTCTGACGCGTAGAGAGGTGAAGACGAACAAAAATCAAATACACAAAGCCGACGTTAATCTGAGATGGTGTAAAAAAGGGATGTAAAAAATCCCCTTAGTCCCACCTATGCAAGTTCCATGTCCTCCACAATGATCTATACAAGCCATTCCAATGTAGACATTGTCTAAGGCCCACTCAGGGGCGAAGTCAGAGTCTGGCACTTTGCCTTGGTACCAGCGGAACCGTAAGGGCCTGGGGAGACATGAAGGAAGTTCATGAGGGCAAGAATGAGCTTTGGAAAGACAAGATCATGCAGCACTGCCAGCGATACGATAAACTGTAATGCCTGTTAAAATAAAAAATAAAAGTAAAATGCATCAACAGCGACAAAACATGAATCAACTCTTAGAAGCAGACTCGCCTACCAAATAGAAGGCTGCTGTTCTTTTTTTCTTGCTTTTTTCATATCCTTTATCATAAGTATTAGCTTGCTTGTACTACAACTGTATCCTCATACATCAAATCTTCAGTCTTTTCTGAATATTATGGTGGGTAATACAAGCTTGTAGTTTCAATATACTTTTGCTGTAACAAAACAGGGAATAGGCCTACAACTTGTGAGAGCTAACAGAAGATGACCGTGACATTTATTTCAACCATAGAGTAGTACTATTTTCTTAACAGCTTTTATAGATAAACATTGAACTAAAATATATCCTTCCCTGACAGTGTGACAGCTAAACAGAACTCTTTTCCCAAGCAAACACAAGTCATAACATCAGTGACAATTTCATTACAGTTTAACTCTTTATCTCCGGCAAGCCACTCCCAGCGGCTTGCGGTCGGAACTGCTGTGTCAGTGAGCCGCTGAGAGCAGCTCGGGCACATATCTTTACGATGACTTAGACATCAAATTACTTTTCGGCAATAATCTTTTTTATCGTGATTTCATTCATTAGATGAAGAACTATAAAAATAGGTTCCCTTGTTTTGATTTAATGACCAATTTAGTGACATTTTCATCATTTTTAGATTTAGTACCAAAAATGGGCCTTGGCATGGTGGGTTTACCCTCCCCCCCCCTCCCAGAGATAAAGAGTTAAGATCCACCGTCTCCTACCCGCAGATGTGAAGATGATCTAATGGCACAATCATACGTCGCCAGTAGAGGCTGTCTCCGGCGTAGTAGACAGTGAAGGGCAGGTGGTAGTCGAAGCAGCCGGCCCCCGACACATCCACACAGCTGGGACCAACCAGGGACCACGTCACACCACCGTCAGCGGAATATTCCAGCCGCACCGGGTACTTAGCGGTTCCCTCCGCACCACAACCAACGTTGATCTGTGTAAAGTTTTCAATAAAAATACTGATAATTATAATAATAAAAACAATAAAGATGATAATAATAAAAAGAAGAACAACAATATCAATACAATAATAATATAAACTGCATCTATATCACGCATATCCATGCTCTACAGTATGTCCTATGGAGTTTACAACTATTTCATCAATGTATTAGTCAGTTAGACATTGTCATTTCCAAGAGAACTTAAACACTCACAGATATCATAGTCATGGCTTTTTAATAAGGCTATTCATCAATAACAAAAACTTTTTCTGTCTAACACGAACAGAAATGATAAAATATCATGCATTAGTAATTCCAACTAATTCACAATGTGCACTGATGTGATTCAAAACAGGTATCTTTACAACCTACTTTGTTCAATAGTTAAAAACTGATCATCATCAAACATTGGTAAACAAAGAAATGTTTAAAAATAAAATACGGCCAAAGACTTGAGGCCCAGCCCATGAACTTACATCAAACTGTAGAACAGACATTGGCCCAATCTCAAGGTCAGAGGTCATGACAGAAACTTCCCCACCCTCAAGTCTTCTGAGAACAAGGGCAGACTCTCCACTTGTCTCAGTCTCTGGTCTGAAACAAACAGAGCACAAATAGAATGATACACAAATGTTCTGTTTCATATTTAATCATACTTCAATAACTGAAATATACAATATCTGAAACACAAAACTAAAAAAGAATGATCTAAAAAACCTGAAGGCAATTATCATGATTTTCTGAGGAGGCATCTTAACTTTCCATCTAGTGAGCTACTTAAGCCCTATGAGAGAAGAGAATATTGTGAGAATGAAGCAAGCCTGAAAACTCCAAAGTGTAAAGGTATAGCTTGGATGCACAGAGAAATACTTGTTGATGAGTGTGCATACCTCCTAAATACAGAGCAATACAAAAGAAATGCCGAAGCCAAGACAGAAGCGTGCAAACACTGCACACCCATGAATGGAAATGACACTTTTGATTGCTCAAAATATGACAAATTCATCTCTCCCAGCATTGGTCTCATTGGACATAGCAGAAGTCACGACATCTTAAACCTTATTTCTTCTTTAATATTCTCTTTTGCTGATGCATTGGTCGTCATCAGACATTGATGGACAAAGTTCTGTTATTATGATAATCACATACTGACTTGTGTGTATAGTTTAGTTTGTATACACAGAGCAATACTTATTGATGGGTGTGCACACTTTGTTTACGCAGAGCAATACCTATTGATGAGCGTTCATATCTCATATCTCGTATACACAGAACGATACTTAAAGAATAGTGTGCATATTTCGTACACACCGAGCAATACTTATTGAATAGAATAGTGTGCATATCTCGTATATATAGAGCAATACTTATTGAATAGTATGCATATCTCGTATACATAGAGCAATACTTATAGAATAGTGTGCATATTTCGTATACACAGAGCAATACTTATTGACGAGTATGCATATCTTAGTGTACGCACCTTGTATACGCAGAACAATACTCATCAACGTGGCCATTGTTGATGAAGAGCCAGGATTGAGGGTCTGGTTTTTCCTTCTCAAACGAGTCATACAGAGACTTGGGGTTCATGGCCATTGAGCCGATGAAAAGGTTGTCTACGGACCAAACTGACCGCATCTCTCCTGCAGGGGACAAAAAGTTTGTATGGAAATGAGGAACTTTTCAGACAGATTTGAGAATATGTGAAGTATGCTGAAAAAATGAGTTATTTCTCGGATTTGAGCATTATGGAAATAAGTTCATCACGCTTATAGGTGAAGTTTTAACACTTTATAAGGATGAAATAATACAAGGCATGTTATAGTTCAAGAATATGGCATCAATAGAAAACCTGCAAATTTTACATGTGTCGATTTTTGGCCAATAACTCTATTTGTGGACTGTGAGAAGTAACTCATTTCGTCAGCATGCCTCACACATTATACATATATATATATATATATATATATATATATATATATTATATACGTAAACACTTTTGTTCTCATCTTGTGGTCTGACAGGGCAATTCACAATTTTTCTGGTTTTCTCTGCTGAAATCGAGACCAAAAAGATAGCCACCTTTTTGCAATCAGTTGTTAAAAATGTTTTGAAAACAATTAGAAAAATCAGACTATTCAATTTTTGTAACACTAAGTTCCGATGGGTGAGATCTCCAGCCTTGAATATAAGTGTCATCTGCAAATATGAGTGATATAACTTTTTTTGAAAAATCAGGAGTTGGTAAAAAGACGAAAAAAACCCCCAACAAATATTACCTCCATTATCTGCTTGCCAAAATCTGAAGCGCGTTGAATTCATCCGAGCTGACATTGGCAATGGAAGGGAAAAGAACCTGGAAATGAACAATAAAAGTATGTTTTCATTCTCAGGGGTAGAGGAGCTAAATACATCTCCAAGTGACTAAGTCCTTTAACATTCATATTAAACACAGCTGTGTACCAATTTACCGCACATAACAGATCTTTATCTGTATTTGCTTTCAAATCTAAGGTGATACAGGAATAACCTTTTGAAAGTTGCAAAGCATCCAGGAAAACTGAGATAATGTCAATAATGATTTTTGGGCCATTTGTGAAAAAAGTTCCTGTGCCAAAATATAAATAGGTTCCATCCATCATAAGCGTCAAACCTAGAAATATACCAGAGGTATTTGGCTCAGGTAAACTCGCCTAATCTCCCTAGCTGTGTCGGTGAAACAAACTGCCTTGCCTCTATTCATCATTACCACAAATTGAATCAGTGACATTTATGACGTATACCCTTTCCAAAACTGTTACAGTTAGAACAAAAAGAATTTGTTTTAACAACAACAAAGTAACTTGTATTCCTAGGCATCTGGCATAGGAATAACAATTCAAGTTTTCCATTATATGCGTCACCGGTAAGACAAGTCTCAACTTTCATATTTAACATTTAGTAAACTCAAGTGAATTTCCGCAAAATGACACATTATGAAAAATTTTCTAGTATACTACAGATAAATGCAGTTCCTAAGACACTTGAACTGATAAAAATACCTTGCACATCTTGGCCTTGAGGAAAAACCAGACGGCAAAAGAGGCAAAGGCAGACAAAGAATAACTTACTTAGAGAATTTGAAAATATGGGAGAAGGGACAAGACCAAGACAATGATAGCTTTTTTAGAGCATCATGCAGAAAAATGAGCGGGGCGGGAACCATGATTGCTAATGTCTTTTTTTTCTGATTTGGCGGTGCAAAAAGAAGAACAATTCACATAGACCACCAGAAGAATCTCACTTGGGCTCTGAAGTGTCCGAGAAGTGTATCTCTTTCACCAGCTTCCAGATGATCCCGCCGTTGGTAGAGTACTGCAGTAGTACACTCTGGTGGCGAGGCCAGGGGGTGACAGCTTTGCCGCAACCGTAGCGGAAGTCAAACTCCATGGAGGTCAGCATCGAGGTGTCCATGTCATTAGTGACCGCCATTCTGATGCCGTCCTGGGACAAAAAATATCATACTGACATAAGTAGTAGATTGCTTGGAAGGCTTTTGTTTTCTTAGGTTTAAACATTCAGCTTGACACAGAACAGGTCATTTTGACTGGCCCTGTAATGTAGTCGTTACATGTTTTGCCATTGTGAACAGAAAAACTGAGTTCAGTTTCCATTTAGGAAGAATTTTTATAGATTATCTCGGTCTTTCTGCTGGGACGTAATATCTCTCTCAACTTGTGTTGATCCTGAATGGCAAGGTCGAAGTCTGCTTCCTGAATGTCCTAAATTGTGTTGATGAGGATGTAAATACATCTTTAAAGATAAAGACCATTTTGAAGCCAAAGAGAGTAGACCCAAGAGCTAAGAGGAAAACTGACACCACCAAGATCTGAACCGTGCACTTTTCTTCTGCTATATAACCAAACTAGGTCTGCAGAAAAGTTTCATGACTTCCACAGGACAAAAAGGAATGTATGCTTAAACATTAATTAATACATACATCTACTGTTCGATGCACTATATCAACTCCCCCCCCCCCCCCCCCCCTCCCCAATATAAAATGTTCAGGCAGCTGATGCAAGCTTTCCTGTGGAAAGTGAGAGAAAATTCAGGAAAATTCTCCACAAAAAAAAATTTAAAAAATATCAAGGAAAAGAAAAACATTTGGGAGATTCTCCAGACATGGAAAAAAAATGTTCCTTTCATACTGACAACAAAAAACCAACAAACACTGTCTCTCTCACTATCTAAATTCTCCCACCTGTGTATGCTATTTATAGTACTCTCCTCAAATACTCTTGTTACCCAAAACCACAAAATCTATGATGCTACAGAAAAAAGAAATAATAATGAGATCACTATTTCAACAATGTGACAGAAAATAGAAATAATGAGAAAAAGCTCATACCTCGTGAAAAGTGAATGACCTCCCACTGACCACTGGGCCACACATGACGCTGTTGTCTCCACCGTAAAACTCGCGCCACACACGGTCGTTGACCTTGAGAGAGTTAAAGTCGTCACGCAGTATCATGGGCAGAGGTGTCGTGGGCACGCAATGATCACCGCCATAGCCCTCATCGCAACTGACAGCAAAAGAAAACACACAGATGTTTTTCAAAAAAAAAATATCAAAGAAAGTATGCATAATAAATATATATTCTACAACTGATCACTTTTACTGCCTTCAAATGTTTAAGTGTGAGAGCAAAATGTCAATACATACAGGAAAGGGCTGAATTCCTATTATGAACTCTGGAGAGACAAAATGAAATTAGGGGCCGTGCCTCGTAAACAGGAACGAGACGTAAGCCCACACCCAACTTAGATTTTATTGAACAAAAATGCATTTCAATGACCAGAGTTGTCATGTAAGTATGCGTGATTTTATAGTTCCCTCTGAATATTGTCATGTGATAAATTCAATTTATAATACATTAAATCTTATCAGAATAACAATTAATTTTTTTCAGAATATTTATAGTTGTAAAACAGTATAAAGCAAATTTACATCTTTATAACTGCCGGTATGCACGACAACAATTGTGTCCCGACCTGGTGGACTCAGGTGCTTGTCACATTTTAGGCATGTTGAGTACTTGGTATCACTTTAAAGCTTGTTCGTTTGTCTTGCTTTCAATGGAAAAAAATATATGTGTATCTTGAATAGAAGTCAAGATATTTGTGATTGAAGGTGGTGGGAGTCGCCTGGTTTCAGAGGTAAAACAAGCGATGAAATGGCCTCCAAAGTTTGGTGACTTCCAAAGCTTGAGTTCTTAGAAAGCAAATTTACATTTTATGTGCCTTTAATCAACATTTTTTACAGTAAAATCCACACACAAACACATGGACATAAAAGGTGCTGAGCCAAAAAACAAAAAAAATTTGAACGGACGGAAAAATGCCCAGGGTTTCTTTGACTCCATTATTTTGATTAACACCTGATATCACCATAATGCCTCACAATTTTTATTTCAATAGCAAAAGAGAAATTTGAGTAATGCTCCAACATCTAGACTGAAAAGGTCAACAGTTATGGTTAAGTAGAAAGCAAAAGAGAAATTTGAGTAATGCTCCAACATCTAGACTGAAAAGGTCAACAGTTACAGTTAAGTAGAAAGCATTCATCCAAACCAATTAACATTAAAATCATGGGAAATGAAAAATACAGATATTTAGTGATAATCAAGTTAAGGAGGGTTGTCCATACAGTACTTTACCCCCTGAATCAATCTGGATAGAGGAAAAAATCTTTGTACGAACCGCTAAAATGAATGTCATGCTTAAGGAGAGCTAACAATAACTGACTGACATGCGAAAGGCCACAGTACATAATGAGAATGACCAAAACCTGTCCCATCAGTGGACACAACACATAGGCACTGATGTAAAGGCCAGGGTTTCACTGTACACAAAAAAAAGAACCTACATGCATTTCCCCTTGCGACAAACTCCATGACCTGAGCAGAGCCAAGGACAACCATCACCCAGGTAAACATTGTCCAGCGCCCAGATTGGGCCTCCCTTCTCAGGGTACGGTCTTTGCCAGCGGAAACGGGTGCTTGGAGACCTGTCAAACAATGGGTGAAACAATGGGTGAAACAATGGGGGAAATAATGGGGGGAAAAACTGACTTTGATTTCACTCTCCCAAAGCAATTTTGATGATGGTAACACAACTGGAAAGCATACGTAATGTTGCAAGTTGCACCAATCTGCCTAAAACACATAATATAACACATAATATTAAAAAATACAACACTGTTTGTACTCTACAAACAAGTTATCAAATACACCATTGATGGCTGTTCATTGCCATCTATGAAGATAGAGCTATACATTTTGCTACAATCATCAAAATCAAAATGAACTACATTTTCATGTTACTCCAGGCCTTTACTAATGCCTACGTATGTTCGTAATCTTGTACATAATTTGACACTCTCATAAAAACGTGCAAGAAAAAGCTTAAAGATTCTGAAATCTTTTCACTATTATTACTTTGCTTCTATAACCGTGTATGGCTAGTGATAAGAGAAGGAGTCTTTATCTTTTCTAAGACAGTTCAATAAAATCAATATAGCCACAGTAAAAACCCTATATAACATAAATATGTAGTGAAAACACCTCAAGTAGAAGTCCTTCAGCTGCCAGGAATCCAAAGCTGTATATAGTCAAATAAATTTGGTGCAATAAACTGTATCGCATGTCATGTAAGTTACACTCCACAAGTTTGCAAAAAAATCCCGTTTTCACAAAAGCAAATCGGTTAACATGCGAACTGACCAAGAAATGGATTGAAAGGGAACAAGCAATAGATTAAGCAAGTTAAGATAAGATAACATTTTACTGATCTCCACCAAGAGAAATTTTACTGTAGCATGATAAATACACACACACATGCACACGCGCACGCACACACACACTTACATATATACAGACACACACGTAACAACATATGTAACCTGTGAACATGAAAATGAAATAACAAAAGGATTTACACCCATTTTATCAACAGCAGGCTATAAAACCAGTCTATGAACTTACACAGCCCCGTCAGGCAGAGACACTGTGATACGAGTCCAGTTGGCAAACTGGTCAGACATGTAAGTGGAGCTGAGGTGGTAACCAGAGCACTCAAAGCGGGGCGGGGCACACTTGTCCACTACGGGCTGCCAGGTACGGCCGTGGTCTGTGGAGTACTCCAGGCGAATGTCGTAGAGACCACCTGGAAGAAGGGCAGAATTAGTTTTAGTTTTAGTAGAGGTTTTACGGCGCTCACAACTGCATAAGGTCATAAGAGCGCCAGAAGATTAGAGGTGTTACAAGAGAGTAACAAACATAAAAAAGAAGAAGGGGAGATAAGGACAAAAGATGTTTGATAGGAAAGAAGAAGTAAACCACACCAGAGCACCCACCAACCACCCACAAGGACAGAATGAAATACTTTTGTTTCCTCGATTTAAAAAGAATCACATTGACACAATAATGACCATTTCACTAGTCACTTTCAAGTCCCTTTTGAGACATATGTACAGAGCATGAATCTTTTCAGAAGTGCCACAAGATCAGTTGGTATCAAGCTGATTTCTACTGCAGGCTACCCTGATTCAAATCCAGACAGTATTGTTCTCAAATTAGGATCAAAGAGATAAACTAGTGGTAGACATCTCCCTACCTTAAAATTACAAAGTTCTATCTGCTCAGTAGGCCTACCTAGTTTTGAGAAATTTTAAGTAAAAAATTTTGAGTTTCACATGTCAAGCTTTTTTTAATGCAATTCTTTGAATATCTTGATAACGACTCTGAACAATCTTGCGATTTCAATATAGCAGATAGAAAATTTGGCTTTTGACCTCATGGTCTTAGAAACTCAAAATGGCAAAAAATGTCAGATAGGACTTTATCATTCTAAGGTAGCATTCTATCTAAACCAGGGGTCTCAAACTCATGGCCTGGAGGACGATATTTTGCAGCCCTATTTGACATTAAAGTTTATGGTCAGTGTGGCCCTTCCTTAAGCCAAATGTGGCTGAACTGTGTGAGAAAAAGTGCTGCCAGGTCTGTGGTAGCAAGGACTAGGTAAAAAAAGCCTAATTTCTGAAAAAACTGTTTATGTTCTGAACTGCTATTAATAAAGATTGAGAAGATTAGATCAGCTGTACTTTAAAAAAAATACTTGAAACCTTTTTTTCCTCCATGGAACATTTGATGCAGCCAAGGCTCACTCAGACTCTACCTCCAGCAGCCCAGAGGTAATTTGAATTTAAGACATTTGATCATAACCCCAGTTTGTTCTATTTTCTCGAATTTACAACATACCAGAGAGAGTGCCACAACCCATGGCCAGGTCAAACTGCAGAAAAGTGGATGGGGTCACGTGATAGTCCCAGGTCTCAGCAAGCTGTTGATCTGGACAAAAAAAGAGAAACGTGCCATGTCGTGATAATTCACCATGGGATGCAAAGTAAAACTGGTAAACCTGAGGATGTTCTGCATTTTTGTTTGGAATGACAAAGAGAAAACTTTTTTTCTGTAATCCTCTATCATGCTGAAGGTTCTTTGACTCACAAAGGTACTGATTTCAGTATGTATGGCCTACTACTAAGTACATTCAAAATGAATACATGCAGACATCTCTTTTGATTATCTTTAATTTACTTCTCAAATCCACAAGATAATTACATGAGGGAAATGAAGTAAGCATGAGTCTATCCCTTCAGTGTTGATGTCAACTCTCCGCTGATGTAACAATTGACGAGCAAACAAAACTGTCAGATGCGATTAAAAGATCTCAGCAAAAAGAGATAAAATGATGAACAAGGCAATGTATTTCTTTATCGTAATCTTCCCTATAGTTTTTCTTACCATTCTTGTTGCTAAACTCCAGAGCACTGTCTTGAGAGTCACAGGTGTGTCTCTGTATAGCTGAGTCTGCCATGAACCAGTGGTGTGGGTCAGGCATCATACCTGTTTTAGGGAAGAGGAAAAGACATATTTATTCATAAATGCTTGTTGTTCTCAGTATTACCCGAGAACTCTGAGGTTTCCCACAGTGTCCCTCTCTTTACTTTGCCAAGCCCTGCTGCTATGAGCTAATCTCTCCAGCCACATGTGTAAGTCAATTGGCATCGGTGGCCTAGTGGTTAGGCTCTCGGACTCGCAACCGTAAGGTCGTGGGTTTGAATCCCGTCAGGGGCCCGACGTTGTGTCCTTGGGAAAGGCACTTTGCACAAATTTTCCTCACTTCACCCAGGTGGAAATGGGTACCCGGCTATAGACAGTGAATGATCTTGTCAGTTTGATAGTGTTTGAGCGCGTGAAATCTGCAGCTTGCACTGTATGCTTCTGTGGAAGCCGAGAATGTTTCAGAGTGTTCTCAGAGGGTCTGCTGGGGTAATAATGGTTGTAAAGCGCATAGAGCATGCTCTTGAGCATGGATATGCGCTATATAAATGCAATTATTATTATTATTATTACAATTGCCAGTACAAACGGCCCCCCTTTATGTTTTTCCGACAGTTAATATAATGACACTGTCTAAGATATCCACCTGTCCAAGACAACAACTTTCCTTCTCATCAATGAGTTGCAGTCTTGGATAATCGACAGTATTAATTGTTTGTTTCAGCATTACCCTGAAGCTTTGAGCATTCCCACAAAGTCTCTCTCCTTAAATACTCAATGCCTTCTGCAATGTTTCGATATTCTAAAAATCTGCTTTAACAAAAAGCCAGAAAAGTTTGACTGCAGGGAGTACAAAGATAAAATATCTGCATTCCATTGTATCCCTTTGTGCCACTTCAGAAATTCCATACATGCTTCTGCTGTGGACATCTTTCTCTTTCATTTTAGAATGGTGGTCTTGACTTCTTTCTACTATTGACTACTATTTTTCCCCAACCATATCTAGTTCTTAATATTGATTCCTGTTGAGGTAATGTCTCTCTTGTCCATATCTTTGTACGTGAGAGGAGGGAGACCTTAAGCTCCTTCCATTCCCTTGCACCACATAGACTAGGTCCACTGGTATCCTCCCATCTTCAATGCATTAGCATTGCATGAGTAGAAACATCTAACCTTTCTTGTGCCTCAAAGTTGGTAATCTTGTTTTTTCAGGTTATTCAAGGATCTTTCTATGACTCCTCATGTGAATAGCTGTATCTTCAAGTGAACAGTTGTATATCAGAATCTAATCACATAAAGCCAAATTAACGAGCAATTTGTCCAAAATTAAAGAACACTTAAACTTTTGATATGCAGAACTTGTTTTTGTTCATACATTCAGAGAGGAACAATACAAAACTAAGGGTACTTGTTTCAATGATCAGTAAACCAGCGTAATGATTAAAGGAAATAAAAAAGAGCAATCAACAAAGGAAAAGCTCTTCAAAAACTATTTCTCAATATTTGATTCAAGACATGACCAGGTGAGAAATAAAACAAATACCCCCCCCCCCCCCCCAAAAAAAAACAAGTTCAATTCACACTTATTGCTTGTAAATTTTATACAGAGAACTGTTGAGTGATATCATACGAAGAACAGACTCTGGGCCACAAAAAAAGGTTCTAGAGGACTGACAGTTACAGCAAACAGAACACGATCATTCATTCAAATACAAGCAAAGAAGCAGCAATAAGTAGGAAACGGGCGATTTACTGAAAGCTAAAAATACCTTGGAATGCGTCTTCAAATCCATATTTGCTTGTATCATTCACTCCAATGAGGACACTGTCTATTGCCCACTCAGCTCTGGGCATACCTTAGAGTTTAAAAAAAATGCATCATCAGTCATTATTGATTACAACAAAAGATCTTAAAAACAACTAAAAAGAATCGGAGAACCCCCTCTACTAAAAAAGAGCAACCCAGTATACATTACATTTTTCAAAAGTAAATTCTGAATTAATGCAGCAGCAGAAACCGAGAGATTTCCAAAGCTGAAGGCATTAATATTACAGACAACTGAGTCACATAAGTCACTATCAAATAATCTAATCTATACCAACAAACCAAGATCTGAATACCTTTTTTTTTTAAAAAGAGAGTATATCAAGTGTAGAAAGAGAAAAAATTCAACAAGGTACTCCAAAAGATATTCTCCAACGATTAAAACCCATCTCCTTTGTTTCCTTCCATTCTAGGATCCATTAAAACAGGTTCAATTCAGTTATAGCATTTCAAAGATGTAAGTGTAGGTGGGTTGCAGGGCACCACTAGTGGGTCCTACTTCTTTTCTTTCCCTCTATTGTTTTTGTCTGCATATTTTTGCTGTTTCCTGCACTAAATGACCATTATTGTGTCGATGTGCTTCTCTTCCCTCCAGTAACATCAAACAAAAGACATAACGTATCACGTCTTTTATGTGTGATGCCACAAAAAGTAGCATAAATATCACATTTTTTAAAAAAAGAAAAAAATTCAGAATGTAACCTCCAAAGCCTAGAGGCTGCCAGAAACGGAAGATGGTCTGGTCTTGCTTCGCGGCATCGGGCAGGTCCAGGACGACAGTGTGGGGTGAGATGTCCTCAAACTCTGGCTCCACCACAGTCAGGACCTGCCAGGTGATGCCGTTGTCCGTGGAGAAGTCCACCACGATGCCCTCGTTCCTGTCTCGGGGTCTGCGGCACGTCTCAGAGTTGATGCTGTCCCCTATCTTGATTGTGAAATCCAGGATTCTGAAACAAAAATGTTAGTGTTTTCATGCCCCTCTCAACAAAATTTAGATCATTTAGGAGGCTGGCTTTGATTCTGCCTTTTTGGGCCAACTTGGGCTCAGAGGGAAACAATCCAAGCAGAAGGACCGAAATACTCAATAAAAATTCTCCCATCAGAAGTCGAACTCGGGTCTCCTGACATAGCTCTCCAGTGCCACACCTTAAGACACCCATCAGAATTCTGAGGACATTAAGATGCTCTTGTTCTGTACCTGACCACTTCCTATTCACCCCCCCCCCCTTTTTTTTTTCTTTTCTATTGTGGTAATCTAGGACAGGCTTGAATGTAATTCCAAATGTTCAGGAAAACCTTGGTGGATTTCACAAAGAATCCTTATCCTTTACCATAAGCATATGGAGCTGATCACACAGGATAACATCACCATCAATATATCACCATCAATATAACACAACTGCCTTAGTCATTTTCTTCAAGTTTCTATTGCACCCTCAACAAAGCTGAATCATGTTTCTGTTAATTGATCTCACAACACACAAGTCAAAGCAAGTAAAAAAAAAAGCTCTTGACATTCTTGCCACTATTTAGCAACAATGACAGGTTGGTAATGGCCGAGCACACGGTTTTTCTTTTTTTGAGTTTTCAAGCCAAAAAAAAAGTGAAAAAATAGCTTCAACTTTACGTTAAGATTTTTCAGACCTGATATTTATACACATTGCCCTGTCAGAATTCACATCAGATTGAACTTTCAAGGCTTAAACCAGGATTCAGTTTTAATTTTCTGAGACTTTGTAACTTAATGCAAAGGTAAAAAAATCACTGTGGACTCATACTTTTTCTGAGTAGTGTTGAGCGGCACAGTGACAGCCTCCCTGGTCCCGTCGCCTCCAAAATAGAGCGAGTTATGTCTGTCCACGATACCACAGCCCCGGCCTTGATGTCCTCCCAGGATTCTCTGCCACAGCATGGACGGCATGTTCCAGTTGTCGAAGCGGTCCAGCAGACCAGAAGGGGCCCCATCCACAGCCTGACAGTTTTTATCTGACAAAAAAATAAATAGAACAAAAGGGAATTACTACAAGCTTCTCTGATATACCATATATCACAGCATATTTCAAAACCTGTGTTTTAAATTTTAAAAAGCCAATAATAATAGTAAAGATGTCCAGCAAGGTATTAAATTAGGAATAAAATGTCTGGAACGTCCAAACTTGAAGTTCTTGAAGGAAGGCAACCATTTAAAATCAAAATAATCCTTTCATTGGTGATCAATTTTTTTTAAAAGAGAGTATTTGACAAAAAAAGGATAAAATCTTCAGAAAAAGAACATCAGTGACATTGTTCGATAAGTCGTGTTTACAACTTACATATTTAATAAAAATCCCCCTAAACATTAAACAAACGTATCTCATGCTGCATCTGAGCATTTCCATGAATTTCTTCTTTTATGTCAAATGGACATACAGTCCAACCTGTGTAAGACGGCCAACCATCGTCAAGGAGAAAAGTGGCCGTTTAAGACAGGTGGCCGTCTTAGGCAGGACTGATCAAGATGAAGAAAACAAACCCTTACTTTCTGAGGTCGTCGCATTGTGGTTGTTGTTGTTGCTTTCGCTGGGTTTTTTTGTTCTTTAAAAAAATTTTGTTGCTGCTTTTGCGCAAGGGTGACAATAAAATGAAATGTGTCAGACAAGGAAGATCGAGTGCTATGGTAAAACAAACACATGGATCGCCACCACTCGGAGAACGAGCAACGCTTCTTTCACAAGTTCATGTTGATGTCCATTGTTACTTTGTTACAGACTGGGTAAACAGTGACAACTCATCTCACTTACGATTTGTGTATGAGTTCTGGGCGGGGCTTATGGGTTATGAGGGATCACACGTTTACCTTACCAGCAGCTGGAAATTCGTTACCTATTATTAGTGTTACCTATTGGTCAACAGTGGGAGGGGCCTACGCAACATGATTGGTTGGAGGGACTACCTAACAACAACGACAGGTGATTGGATTCTGACGGCTGGCCCACAACGCCAGGGGCCAAAGCACAATTCATGACAAAACGTAATGGAGTCACTAAGGTGGCCGTCTAAAACAGAGGTTATTGTTTGGTGTGATAGGGGTTGTGTGTTAAAATATGGTGGCCGCGGCCGCGTTGGACATGTGCCCGTTTTACACAGTTATATTATATAGAAAAAACGCAAGGGGGGGAATGGAAAGTGGCTGTTTGTACAGGTGGTCGTCTTATAGAGGTGGCCGTCATGGCAGGTTCGACTGTTTATTTTATCCTTAAAATTGTAAGAACAAAAGGGTGTAAGTTAAATGCCAGAGTCCAAGTACTGATGACAAAATATTTCATACCCCTATTGATATAATACACCGTTTAAGAGGCAGGCTGCTTTGATTCCGCCAGTCAAGACCATCATGTGTGGAGCGGCCACAGCATCCCAAAAGAAAGACAGATATACTCAATAAAAAAGACCTCAATCTCTGGAAATAAAACTCATGTCTCTGGCATGAAAAGGTAAAGAGCTTTATTAAGACACTGATCTCCAAGTATGGTAGGTTTCACATTACCATCAAGGTTATGATATACAGTCAAACCTGAGTAAGACGGACACCCATTGTCAAGGAGAAAAGTGGCCGCATAAGACAGGTGGCCATCTCAGGCAGGACTGATCAAGATGAAGAAAACAAACAATTCCCATCTGAGGTGCCAATCGAAAGAAGCCGCATTGTTGTGGTCTTAATTGTTGTTGTTGTAGGTTTGTATTTTGTTTGTAATTTTTATTTTGTTGCTGATTTTGCACAAGGGTGACAATAAAACGAAATGTGTCAGACGTGGAAGACCGAGAGCCATGTTAAAACAAACACATGGGTCGCCACCACTCGGAGAACAAGCGATGCTTCTCTCACAAGTTCACGTCAACGTCCATTGTTACAGACTGGGTAAACAGTGACCACTCATCTCACTTACGATTTGTGTATGAGTTCTGGGTGGGGCTTATGGGTTATGAGGGATCACACGTTCACCTCACCAGCAGCTGAAAATTGGTAGCTATTGGTCAACAGTGGGAGGGGCCTATGCGACATGATCGGTTGGAGGGACTACCTAACAACAACGACAGATGATTGAATTATGACGGCTTGCCCACAACGCCAGGGGTCAATGCACAATTTATCACAAAACGCAATGAAGTCACTAAGGTGGCCGTCTAAGACAGGTGTTATTGCTTAATATGATAGGGGTTGTGTGTTAAAATATGGTGGCTGCGGCCGCATTGGACAGGTGCCCGTTTTACACAGTTAAATTATATAGAAAAAATGCAAGGGGGGAAATGGAAAGTGGCCGTTTGTACAGGTGGCCGTCTTATAGAGGTGGCCATCAGGGCAGGTTTGACTGTAATTAATTACGAAGAAGCTGGGAAGTGATGTAGCAAAATTATAAAAGTTTATATCCACTCCATTGATATGTTTCAGTTGAAGGTCTCTGGAGTGAATGGCTTATACAAAAGAGAGCTCTTGGCTTACTTCTCCATCAGCAGAAAGCAAATCATACATACCTACCACAACATCTAGTGAGTCGAGACACTGGCAAAGCCCTTCCTTGCAGACGCCTCGACGATGGCAGTTGTCTAGGCACGGGGGCCCGATGTACACGTCATCTACGCTAAAGCTGTGCGCTACACCACCAGGCTGCCACCACCGGAATATGGCCGGACTGGAAAAGAGCAAGGATGGAACAAAGGTTCAGATTCCATATGTCTAGTCAGCCACTGGTGATTTGAAGTAGGTGCAAACAGGTAATGATATTTCGGCAACAAACAGACGTGTACTTAAATTGCTGCAGTTGGGACAGGGGTGGGGTGTGGGATAACATTCCAGTTGCTCCTGGTTCATGTATTTAAGTCAAGGAGTTTTATTTTCCAATGCATGGATGCCATAAACTATTTGCTCCTGCATCAAACAACTGACAAAGAGAGTCAAAGTCAAAGTTGATATCAAATCAAACCTGGTTACCAAATTAACAATATCTCCAATAGAATACAATAAACAGTAAAATCTCTCAGTAACAATCTATGGTCAGAAAAGCACTTACACAGATTCAAGTTGAAATGAAATAAAACTGAGCCCCAGACATGACCACAAAGTAAGTTGAAATTTTAACAAAAGTAATTGTCCACATCAAAATATTCATATATTGGAGGACCCCCATATCTACACAATTCTGATACCTTGACTTATTGCATTGCTATCTTTTCTCTACAGGGACGAAATTTTTAACCAAAAAAAGTATATTATCCACATGAAAATATACATCTATTGGGGGACCCCATATTTACAGAATTCTGATACCTTCACTTACTGCATTGCGATCTTTTCCGTGACAGGGATGACCACCAGAGTCCACTGACCGTGGGTGCCAGTGTAGTAGATACTACCCTCCTTGAGCTGCCCGTCGCACTCCTGGTCCAGATAGCATGGCTCCTGCACCAGGTTCCAGTTGTGTCCGTTGTCATGACTGTACTGGAGAATGACTGGGTGGTCCCATCGGAACTGTTTGCCGCAGTTCACATTGATCTGATTTAAAGGTGAAATTGAAAAGTTAGAACAATTATATGGCTCTTGAAATCTTGACTAAGCTAAATGCCAGGGCCTGACTGAAAGGAGAACGTGCCTTGCCCAATTTGCACGAACCCCCTCTCGACTTTGCTGATTTAGTCCAAAGGAGCGACGAGGTCAATACATTTGGAACCAGTAAAGTTGCAGGATCTGCCAGAAGATAGTTCGGATCGTTCCTCCCAGTCGACTGCCTTAGGGGCCCTCCCTCCGGATTTGTTTAGGGTTTACTCCCTTAACCTTTCATACTCCCGTATGCACCAACAAGGCAGTAGGAACAGCTGCAGGTAGTACCATCTACTGTAATTATGGTAGAAGCACTAAGGCTGACCTGACACAATAATAATAATGAAGATCATTTCTATAGCGCCCACTCCCGTGTAAACACAGCTCTAGGCGCTTTACATAAATGCATGTAAGAAAAATATTCATGCACGCGACACACACACACACACACACACTCATATACACACAAACACACACATATATACATATACACACACACAAACACACGCATACACACTCACGAATACATAACACGCACACATGTATGCCAAACACACACAAACACACACTCACACACACACACACACACACACACACACACACGTACACACACACACACACACACACACACACACATCTACTTGCTTATCACACGCACACGATTACACATCGTCACGAAATGAGAATAAAATAATATATACACTGCAATTCACAAAATACATAAATGGATACATAGACATTTACATAACATTGTACTGAACATGAATCTACTGACTTAAAAAGGATGTCATTAAATGTGTCTTTAAAGATAATAATAATGATAAAAGTTTGTCCACCATGAACTGATGATGACTTCTAACACTTTGCAGTCACACAGCCAGCAGTACAAAATACCCCATCTGGTCACCCAGCCAGCAGTACAAAATACCCCATCTGGTCACCCAGCCAGCAGTACAAAATACCCCATCTGGTCACACAGCTAGCAGTACAAAATACCCCATCTGGTCACACAGCCAGCAGTACAAAATACCCCATCTGGTCACCCAGCCAGGAGAGTGACTGCAACAGACTTCTCGGGCCTGGCGCATTTTCATTGTCGCATTATTGCGCTAAGTGACCGCAAAGTGTTAACATCTAAGGAGGAAGAAAAGTTAGACACCCCGCTAGCTATTGTTGGTGGCTAGCTTGGCAGAGAGAGTAAAAGCATACAGCTTGTAGCGAGCAACATATCACTATTCTCCACAGACAGCAGCACTTTGTGTTTCCTAGAGTGGTGTGGTTATCTGACTAGGGTTATTTAGTTAAACCTTCATATAGCTTTGTTTTAGACCTTCAAGCACTTTCCTTTTTACAACTATTCAATATACAATAAGACATCTTCAAAGACAAACCTTCTCAAAGCAACATAGAAGAGAGATAAGACAACATAAAAGAGAAAGTGAATATATTTAATGTTTGGTATTTGTAATTGGCACAAGTCAAACTTGTTGAAGATGATTACCCATTGTCCTGGAGAAAAGTGGTCATCTTAAACAGGTGATCCTCTTGGGCAGTTTCTTTGTAATACAGTAAAACACTCTGTGTGTGTGGGGGGGGGGGGGGGGGGAGAGAGAGAGAGAGAGAGAGAGAGAGAGAGAGAGAGAGAGAGAGAGGGGGGGGGAGGGGTGGAAAGTAGTCATTTGGACAGGTGAATGTCTTAGTCTTGGACAGGTGGTAGTTCGAGCAGATCTGACTATTTGTACTATGTGGGTGATTGATAAACACCACCAGAAGGTCACTGAACTTGCAGTGCCCTAAAGATTCATCCGTTTCAGATTTTGTGTACAGTTTAATTTGAAAAAAAAAGCTAATAATGACACAAAGAGGAAGTTGTCCCTATATCTTACCCTGAACTGGATCACATCTCCTGGCTTTAGACTGACGTCATGAGTGACCGCAAACTTGTCGTTGACCTGGTTGCCCATCACAAGAGAGGGGTTCAAAGTGCCACAGTACTTGCCCACTGAGCCTTCGGTCACCATACGCCACTGGTCAGACTGCAAGGGCTCTAGTGTATCCTGGCTCACAAACAGGGAAAAGAGCACAACAAATTAAGGTGTCGCTTACGGCAAGACAGCGTGATATTGATAGTCACAGCTTTAGGTAGGCTACCCCAAAAGAAAGAAGATGTGTGTGAGTGAGTGTGTGTGTGTGTGAGTGTGTGTGTGTCAATGTGATGGAGAGGGTTAAATTCTCAGGAAACGACAATATCCGTTTTCATAAAACCAGCTAAAAAGAAGTAAAGTCACACAAAATAAACTAATTCTACCCATGCACATGAACCAAACAAGCCCCTTAAAAGTATGCCTATGGAAGCTTTCCAGCGACTTGGCGAGTAATTTATAGCCGCAGTCAAATATATCAAATTTAGTTTTCCATAATCGAGTGTTCCATTTCTTGGTCTAGATTCCAAATTGAATGCAAACATTATAACATAATATATAAAAACCATCAACATCAGGAGAACAAGTATATATTTCCAGTCTTTCAATCAGCTGGGCAAAACATGCAAACAAAAACTAAAATCGATAAGAGTAGACTTCAGCCGCCAACCGGGCAAAATTCCAAATTTCCTACCAACTGAAAAAGTCAAATGTGTCCCGCGCGCTCATATGACCTTATGCAGCTACGAGCGCCGTAAAACACTAGCCAAAAAAACAAAACAAAAAAAACTTACATCAAAATTATCATCAATCTTTCTCAGGTTTCTGTACTCTCCAATAAGAACTTCATCAACGGCCCACTGGTCAGTGCCTGGACCAGAGTGGGACGGCTGCCACCACCGGAACCTGGTGTGTGGAGACTTGGCCTCATCAGGCAGCTCAATGTGTGTAAACCTGTTAGAACAATGATGATGATAATAATAATAATAATAATAATAATAATAATAATAATAATAATAATAATGATAATAATAAATACGGTTATATAACATACTCTACTGTATGCTCTTTTCGGTTTACAACTGTAGTTACCCCAGCACACTCGGAAACACTCAGAAACGTTCTCGGCTTTCCAGGAAGTACACAATGCAAGCCCACAAACACTGACAAACTGACAAGATCTTTACTATCTATAGACAGGCACCCTTTCCCATCTAGTTGAAGTAGGGATAATTCATCATGCAAAGTGCCTTTCCCAAGGACACAATGCAGACCCTTGTGGCCCCTGTCGTTACGAGCCGAAGAGCCTGATCACAAGACCACCGACGCCACTAACCTTCTCAACCCGGGTTGGACTTGACAGGCAAGGTCATAGTTGCCCGCATTATATGTGATCAAAGTGTTGTTGATGAGGACGTCAAACTTCTTCAATAACATTGTTTTCATTTATCGGGCACACTAATGATGGGAGCTCGAATAACTAACGGGAAAGACAGTAACATTAATTTATAGAGTAGTGTTGTCTTTCTATAGGGGTACACCCTACACAATTTCGGGTGACTTAATGAGGCAGGTTTAAAACATCCCGACTTAAAAAAGGATATATAAAATACCCGGACCGTCTTTGGTGAGCAGATATTAACAGAAAAACTAGAATACAACTGCAGTTCCGAAATTAAAACGTCTCTTTGAATCTCTTTTTGTCTATGAGCCTAAGTAATTGAATATGTAGTGATCGTAGGGTAAAAAAGGAATGTTCATACACAAACACACACACACACACACACACACACACACACACATACTGCTCGACATCTAAAGTATGTCCATGGCTAAGGCACTTTAGTCGTAGCACGCCCACGATATAAGATCCTTGTGAACAGCAAAGTGGATGCTTATGGCAGAAATAATATATTGGTAGTATGCTTAATATTTGTACTTTTCGTGACCTTGAGGAATAAATGGCCTTGAGGTGTCAACAAAACCCCCCCAAAAAAAACTTGTCAATCTTTTTTTATTATGCATTAAGTCTGTGTTGGAACCAAGCTAAAGAGTGCGCAACTGTTATTCTGTGTTCACATTGTGAGTTAAATGGCTCGGCTTAAATGATGAAAACTATCCAAACAATTTAATTAAAATGTGTCGTTTGGTTTTGAATACTAATTCTAAGAATACTGAGAACACACATTATGAAAGAAGAGTAGTTAACAGACTTTAAGGCAACCTTTGAAAAAAAAATCAAGCGTCGTCAATATTTACTGGTCAGTGATTTACTTTGTGTGGGTAAAGCGAAGAGCTGTTTGTTCCACCATGGATTAATGTTGGGCTTTCTTCATGACAAACCCCGACGACGTAAAGTTGCTGTCATAGAGATAGTAACACAGGATTGAAACAAGAAACAGGCCTTTGTTTTTGGTAATTCCCTGCTAGTGCCCACTGGTTCTTTTAAACCATGGTGTCCAGATGTGTATTATCGTTATATTATCGTTGTGATTTTAGTTTGTTTCATAGTTGTTATTTTGTTTGAT